GTAGGCTCGTGGGGGGGGGACTGCAACATTCCACATCGAATGCCACTCTTCTCTTTTTCCACCTCGTGACCTTTCCATAGCGACGGCACCGTGGTGTCGCTAAGAGGCTTAATTTTATTACCATACTAATTACTATAAGCACTTAACTACACCATCTCTCTACCTAAACCTCCATCATAAGCTCAAAAAAGACGCCCCCTACATGACTACCTTTCTGTGATTTCTTAATACTCTCCTCCCCCCCCCCCCCCCAAAGCCCTCATCTCATGCCCCCCAACCAACGACGGTGTCCCTCACTACTCCTCACTAGAGTCACTACTTCAAGACTACTTCCAACTAACTATCCTGGCGTTTTCCTGGCTTTTTGCTTGAAGTTTTTGCCGCCTCTTTTTGCCTCCCGCGCCGGTGCTGCTGGCCGTTGGGGCTCCGGAGTCCAGACTTCTCGTGTCTTGCCGCCTTGACTGGCTTGATGTTGCATCTTGGTTTCCACCTTTGCACTCTTTTTGCCCGCCCATCATCACCCCATCAATTACCGATGCCGAGTAGTGTCCTAGCCTAGTGTAGTGTCCCGTCATATTCTCCTTCTTCCATCTTCGCCTTGCGTGTCAAATTGCCCTTCCCGTCGGTAGCCTTGTATCTATCTATATGTCGTTCTATATAGCCGTGCTGGACCCGCCCAATTGCGCCGGTCAAGGCAAAACTAACATATTTCTTATTTTTTCTTTATTTTTTATTTTATTTTTCTACATTTTTACATTTTTGGTTATTATTTATATATCTTGGTTTCCCCGAGGTTAGATAACTAGATTAGCTAACAAAATTAATTCCCTCTCTCCTTCAGAGTTTAACTTTTTATCGTTGCTCCAACTCGGAAAATATATATACACATATTATTACAATATCCTTTATATGTATTCGCTAGTATAGGATCCTAACCCTGAGGATCACCCCGGAAAACCATTGAGGAACCCCTCTGTTTAACTACTCCCCTCTTCTCCTCCCCCCCTTTTCCTGTCTGTCCGCCGGGATGGATGATCTTGCAAAGGACCTTGAAAAGGCTGAGCTCCGCGCAGCTGCCAGTGCCGGCCAACATATCCCCCTTCCCGAATCCCAGGACCCTCCCCGACGTTCAAGATCTCGCTCAAGATCTCGCTCAAGATCTCGCTCCAGCTTTGCTTCTATCTCCTCCGCTGCCTCCTCCTCTTCCGCTGGTTCTGGCAGTTCGTGCTCAGACAGCTCCTCCAGCAGACATTCTCTCCATGGCATAGCCAGCGTCCAGACACAGCGTGACCTCGAACGGCATCCCACTGCCCTCAGCCGTATAGCTACCCAGCGAAGTCAGCATTCCGCCACTGTCGGCGCGGGCCTCCGCTCCCGCCCGCCCAGGAAGCCATTGCCGCCGTTTGGTGCGGGGAAGCCTTACCCGCCCTTGCTACCTGAGCGGGAGGAGTATGTCGTCGAGTTCGATGGACCGGACGACCCTTTACACCCTCAAAACTGGCTAATGAGGAAGAAGTATGTTCCGCCTCTCTATCTCTACCCTCTCATTCCTTTGGTGTCCTTTATTATTTATATAGATATATATACAATGTCAATATACATCGGCTAACCATTCCCCCCCCCCCCCTTTTCCATTAAACCTTTCCCACCTCGCACAGAGTCTTTACAGGCATAATCCTAGGCTGGACCACCATCATCTCCTCCTTCACCAGCAGTCTCTTCTCCACCGCAACCGCAGACGTCTCCCGCATCTACGGCATATCTACCCAAGTCGCCATCCTAGGCCTCTCCCTCTACGTCCTCGGCTTCGCCACCGGACCGCTAGTCTGGGCCCCGCTCTCCGAGCTCAAGGGCCGCCGCCTCCCGCTCCTCATCGCCACTTTCGGCTTCACCATCTTCCAATTCGCCGGCGGCGCCGCCAAGGATCTCCAGACAATCATGCTGTGCCGATTCTTCGGCGGCTTCTTCGGCGCCTGCCCCCTCGCCGTCGTCGCAGCCGTCTTCTCAGACATGTTTGACAGCCGCCTACGCGGCCTCGCCATCACCGTCTTCTCCATGACCGTCTTCACGGGACCCCTGCTTGCCCCCTTCGTAGGCGGCTTCATCGTCACCAGCCACCTCGGCTGGCGCTGGACCCAGTACCTCCCCGGCATCTTCGGCGCCAGCGCCTTTATCCTCGACAGCGTCTTCTTCGAAGAAACCTACCCGCCCGTTGTGCTCGTGGACAAAGCCGCCGAGCTGCGCCGGCGCACGCGCAACTGGGGCATCCACGCCAAACAGGAAGAGATCGAAATCGACCTGCGCGAGCTGCTCGAGAAGAACTTCAGCCGCCCGCTGAAGATCCTCGTCACCGAGCCCATCGTGCTTCTCCTCAGCATCTACCTCGCCTTCATCTACGGCATCCTCTACCTCTTCATGACCGCGTACCCGATCGTCTTCCAGAACATCCACGGCTTCAGTCCCGGCGTCGGCGGCCTGCCGTACTTCGGCATGATCATAGGCCAGCTCATCGGCGGCCTCACGATCATCCTGTCCCAGCCGTGGTATACGCGGAAACTAGCCGCGAATGGCGACGTGCCCGTGCCGGAATGGCGCCTGCCGCCCGCCATTGCTGGTGGCTTCTCGTTCGCCGGAGGACTGTTTTGGTTCGGGTGGTCTGGCTTCACGGCTGATATCCACTGGATCGTACCGACGTTATCGGGCTTGTTGACCGGGTTCGGTCTGTTGGTGATCTTCCTACAGGCATTGAACTATATCATTGATGCGTACTTACTTTTGTACGTTTTTTATACCCCCATTTTTAATCGTTTTTTATCCCTCTCCCCCAATTTTCAGCGAATAGTCTGTGCCGTCTGCAACTGGATAAGAAATGACTAACCCTAAATCTCCGTACTATATAGTGCTGCCTCCGCCATCGCCGCAAACACTCTCCTCCGCTCCATCGCCGGAGCCGCATTCCCCCTATTCGCAGAACGCCTGGTAAGCATCCATCTACTCAATCCCACACTTAACATGTATATATACACACACACACACACACACACATATATATATATATATATAAAATACCTCACCACTAACATCCTAACCAACAGTTCGCCGCCCTCGGCGTAAACTGGACCGGCACCCTCCTAGGCTGCATCGCCCTCGCACTTGCCCCCATCCCCGTCATATTCTACATCTACGGCGCGCGGATCCGCGCACACAGCAAGTTTTCCACAAAACACTTCCTGGAGGATGAATGAATGAGATAAATGAATGGAATCAGAATCGAATGGGCGAATGGGCGAATGGGCGAATGAATAAAATAATCGGTATGCCGTCAAAAGAAAGAAGGAAAAAAAAAAAAAAAACCAAAAGCAAAAAACAAAAAGCAAAAAGAAAAAGCGAGGATTCGAGCCTTGGAATTGTTCAATTGGGCTTGTGAATCGATTTTACCAACGCCCTAGGAAAAGGACAACGGGAACGAAACGAAAAAAAAAAAAAAAAAAAAAAAAAAAAAAAAAAAAAAAAGCAAACATTCCCCATTTTCGCTAATGACGCATAACTAACCATCTACAACTACGGGAGATGAATGGATGTACAGAAAATGATCTCTATCTGTTTCTGTTTCTGTTTCTTTTCTTTTTCTTGGTTTTTCTCAGCGCCATTTTTGTTTGGAGATGATACCCCTTTTATATATATATATATATATATATATACATGTATAATATTGTTGTAATACTTTTTAATATGTCAGCTTTGTTTTTTTTATTCTTTTCCACTTTTTCTTTTCGAACAATGTATCTAAGCCGATTTATCCAGATGCGAAAAGACTTTTTGAATTATTAGGTTGAGGATATACATAGCACTGATAGCATTATCAATACCAAGGGAGCTAACGAATACTTATCCATTAGCCTGCAAAGTGGTACATTACATATATCTTATAACTCTATAACCCTACCTAATAAGCCACGAAATCTACGAGCAGCCCTCCTCCCTCCTCCCGCTCTCCCTCCTCCTCCTCTTAAAACCCTCAACACTCTCCTTAACCCCCCACCCATCCACAAGCAACCCCCTAACATCCTCCAACCCCAACCCGCTCATCTCCGGATAGATCATCCAAATGAACCCCCACCCCACCGCACAGATAGCCGCATACATCACAAACGTCCACTGGGCCGATATCCAATCCATCATGGGCAGGAACGTGAGCCCGACGACAAAGTTAGCCCCCCAGTTCGTCCCCGTGGCAAGCGCGGAGCCGAGCGAGCGCACGCCTAGCGGGAACAGCTCGGATTGCTGCCAGGGGATCGTGCCGATGCCGGAGGCGTAGGCCGCGGTGTAGATCGTGAGGGACGTGAGGATTAACAGGGGAGCCAGCGGGGCGAGCGCTGCGCCTGGTTCTCCGCGTTGTTCCTGTGGCGGTGTGCCATCGCGGGCTGCGGCGGGGTCGAAGATGGAGAAGGCGAGGCCACAGAGGAGGAGGGCTGTGGTCATGATGGGGATGGAGGAGAGGAGGATGCGGCGGCGGCCGATGCGGTCGATGAGCGAGAAGGCGAGGAGGGTGAAGAGGAAGTTTGTCACGGCGACGGAGAGGGAGGTTAGCGTTGGCGAGGAGAAGGCCAGGAGCGAGAAGATGGTGGCGCTGAAATACATGAGGGAGTTGAAGCCGCAGAGTTGTTGGAGGGACTGGAGCATGCAGGCGATTGTCAGGGCGCGGCGGTTGCCGCCGATTTGAAAAAGGGCGGCCCAGCTACGGGGCAGGCGGAGCCAGTGGCTGTCGGACACTTCTTGGTTTAAGGATTTGAGAAGATCATCCGTGGCATTCTCCTCCGCGACGAGTTCGCGCTCGATGTCCCGGACAAGTTGGTCTGGGATCCGAGGGTTGGAGGAGCCGTAGATTCTGTGCACGACTCGACGGGCTTCGCGTTGTTTGTCGGCACGGACAAGCCAGCGCGGGGTTTCCGGGAGGAAGAGAAGGATAGATAGCTGGATTATAGCCGGGAGGGCTCCGAGGCCGACCATCCACCTCCAGCCCGCGTGGGTGGTTGATAAGAGCCAGCCGGTAGTGTATGCGACGACTTGACCGCCGGTCACAAAGAGGCTTAGGATGGTTACCAATCTGCCGCGGATATCAGGTGGTGAAAGTTCTGATATGTACCTGTTGCGCATGGTTCCGTTAGCTTCTGCCTATATGAATGAGGTCATTTAAACGTACAGAGGAGTAATCAGACTAGCCGCTCCAACCCCCAATCCAATAAGGCTCCGGCCCACTATCATACTCCAGACACTGGGGGATGAGGCCTGCCATAGCGCCCCAACGATAAACAAAACATCCGCGATGAGTATGATGGGTTTGCGGCCAAGTTTATCCCCCAGAACACCCGCGAATGGGCTCACTATCAACGCAAATAGGCTAGTGCACGATGTGATTAGACTCTTGTCAAGCGTGGTGAGCGAGCGACCTGAAAGGTCAGTTCCGATCGAAACCAGGGTGGATGAGATAACACCAGTGCTGTTCCATGATATCGAGAGTAACGGATAGTTAGCAATAACGCTTCCCCTTGGGCGTAGAATTTGGAAAACGAGTGGACCTATATTTTCCACCTAGTCCCTTTCCTCCAACAAGGAATATCGCTATAGCTGGATAAAAAGGACAGTAAAAGGAAGCTCTTACTCATATCCGAAAAGCAAACCGCTAATCCCCGCTGAACATGTTAGTGCCCAGATAAACCAGCCTCCAGACCCTGCGGATGCAGTCGCTGGCGCCTGTCCCAGAGACCGTCTTCCACTGTCATTATTATTACTTGCGTCCTCATTTCCGAACTGGTCAGAGTATCTAGGCGGCGGAGAGCGAGGAGTTGCATCCCGGTGGTCTAGCAGCGGAGCTTCAGGGTTATTAGCAGCAGACGAATTCATGTCTTGTAGTTCCAAATCCTCGTGTGCTGACGCCGCAGTAGTGTCTACTATCGCGTGGGGGGAGTGAGCAGATGGCATATGGCGAGCGTCATGGTGTAACTTGGTGTTGTTGTGGTTGAGAAGAAGCCGTGTCTAGATCTAACTAATAATAGATAGATATTAAATCAAGATGGGGTTTCGGTTGGCGGAAGACGTCATGTGCAGGTGGGTATTCGTGATACATCAATACCGTACTGTTCCGCCCATATTGTTGAGCATTGCTGGGTAATAATAATACGTATCTGAATCTACAGAGTACTGCGATGAGAGTTATTTCATTCAGACTAATATCTAAGAACTACTGTATCTATTCATACCAAAGTCCCTTGCCTCATCTATACGCAATAACGAGTAATCAAGTCGTCTAATGCGCAGCAACCACCCCTGCCGCATTGGCCTGTTCTGTAATCCTCTTCTTATACGCCTTGACATCGCCAGGGAACTTCTCCACCGTCCCATGATCACAAACCCATAGGCTTGTGCACACATTCTGCAACATCGTCACGTCATGAGAGACCATCAGCACGCCGCCCTGGAAATTCCTCAACGCATCAGATAGCGCATCCATTGCCTCGATGTCAAGATGATTGGACGGTTCGTCGAGAACCAGGATGTGCGGGTTCGTGAGCGAGAGACATGCGAATGCAACGCGGGACTTTTGGCCCCCGGATAGAAGTTCGAGCTTTTGAAGGCCGGTCATGCCGGTGATGCCAAAACTAGATTTTTCCAAAAGAAAGACAAATAATTAGCTTTACCGTTTGAAAGCAGGCGTGCATATAGATTAAACAAAAAGGAAAAGGGGGTTTCGGTTTCTTACGCTCCAAGATGTCGCCGGTACTCTTCATCAGTTCGACCAGGATAATTCTTTGCCATAAACCCAACGGCACTGGTATTCATATCCAGTGCATCCACATGGTGCTGCGCGAAGAACCCTATCCGGAGCCTAGGATGCTGGGATATGACTCCTGACGTGGGTTGCAACTGGCCAATGAGCAATTTCAACACAGTGGTTTTACCAGCGCCGTTAGGCCCAACAATACCAATCCGTGAATCTAGCTGCACATCCAAGTCGACGTTCGTCAAAAGTGGCCTGTCCTTCGTATAGCCGAAGCAGACCTCTGACATCTGAACGATAGGCGGAGATAGCTTCTCGACATCGGGGAATTTGAAGTGGACGACGTATTCGTTCTCAGGCGGTTCCAGAACGGGCATGCGCTCGAGTTTCTTGATTCTCGATTGCGCTTCCGAGGACTTGGCGGCGTTGTAGCGGAATTTATCAATGAAAGCTGTGGAATGTTAGTAAATCTACACATTTACTTAATTTAGGTAATATTGTGTAGGCACCTTGTAGATGAGCTCTTTGAGCCATTTGGTTTTCATATTCGCGTTTGGCAGTCTTTCTTCGCTCTTCCTTGGTAGCGTAAAATGATTCTACAGAGTAATTAGCATATATTTTTCTGAATATCTCGCTTGTCGAAGTTCCTGGGTAGAGAAAGCATACCGAAATTAGCACCTCTGTAGTAGTCCAATCGTTCCGCGTGTTGGTGGATAATGTCAGTTGCGACCTCGTTGAGGAATGATCGATCGTGAGAAACAACCAAGACTGTGCTTGGATAAGTCTGGAGGTAGTTTGACAAGAACGTAATGGAGGGGACGTCCAACATGTTAGACGGTTCTGTAGTCCGGGGATCGAATTAGCATGTGCCGTGCATAGGTAATCAGTATGGGAATTTGGACAAGAACCCGGGTAGAAGAAAAGACGGACCGTCGAGCAATAAAAGATCAGGCTCGCAGAATAGAGCACGGGCTAAAGCGAGACGCATACGCCATCCTCCAGAAAAGGTCTTTGTGGCAAACTGCTGCCGCTCTGGGGAAAAGCCCAACCCGGCAAGGATACTTGCGGCACGAGGCTCTGCCTTATCCGACTCCATTTCTGCTAGCTTGCTGTGGATATCACTGAGCGTGACGTCGAGCGCCTCCCGCTCCTGGTCGAGACGCATAGCATCTTTCGAAGTGTCTGCCATGGATGAACGCTCCTGCTCAATGGACGCAAGCTCGGCTGAGGTTCTCTGCACGAAAGGTTAGTTCAGTAATTTGCAAAACCATCTTCAGAGAGTATCCGTAGAGCAGGACAAACATCTTGTTCCTTCAGAAGGTGTTTCCGCCAAACATCAGCATCCAGGACAGCTTGCAATGCCGGAGTATCGTCACCAGCAATCTAAAAGCGCACAGTCAGTCAAACCCAAGATATCACACTTTGAAAGAACCCAAATACCTCTTGTTCAACATGAAGAATAGAAATATGCGTGGGAATAGGCACTTCTCGCCGACTCAGCGCACGAAGCAGAGTACTCTTTCCGATACCGTTCTGGCCCACCAAACCATAGCGCCTCCCATATGCCAACGTCAACGACGCATCTGTCAGAATCCGCTTGCCAGAGATAGCAACATCGAAGCCGTCGACCTTGACATCCTTGCTCTTCGACGCATCGGCGCCCAACTGCAAGGGGTTAACGGCCATGTAGAACTCTTCATAGGACTGTGTAGACTCCGGCTCTTTGAGCAAGCGTGACGCCTCATACTCGACCGTCTTCATCTCTTTCCTCTCCTGCTTCGCGCGGATCTTGGCCTCTGCCTTTTCTAGCTTCTTCTTGTCGACGCGGGATTCCACTTTTCGCGTATTGGCAGATTCCAGGTCAACAGAGCCCCCAGCCAGGCCTAGGGTCGATGACATATTGCGCTGCGAGCCCACATGGATGGTCTGGTCTAGCTTTTTGGCCGCAAATGGCACATGGGCTTTGGCATCGACGCCATTTGCGGCGCTGAGAGTTGAGATGAATTTCTTGATCAGATTCTGAATTTCTTCTTCATTTTTGGGACTGAAGTCCCCAGAAGCTGATATGAGTAGCGCTGAGATGGTCTCTGCAGCTTCTGACAAGGGCGAGGGTCCATTTGGATCAGAATCCTCAACGTAAGCTTTGGATGCATGTGTTAAATAGCCCTGGTGTGGAGATTAGCGGAACCATACGAGAAGAGTTTGGGCTAGGCTTTTGCATATATTCAAACACGCAGAAATGCATATCCCAACAATAGAGATACGATACCTAGCGTAGCAATAGCTAAAGGGGTTCTTACCACTGAGTATTCCGATATCACATGATCGATGCCAGGTATCCGTTTCTGGATTTCCGCCTCCATGGCTGTTAAGCGTTACAATGGGGCAAGATAAATGAGGCAAAGGATACTTATAACGAGCACTCGTGATATGAGATCTAGCCCTGGCACTAGATTAACTACGCATCAGGTAGAACAGGGGGATATTTTGGTGATGCGGGGAATTGTTGGAGAGATGCTGCTGTCGCGAGAGATTCCCCGTCACAATGTTAGAGTTTTCCGCTAACATCTTTTTGTTAAGTGTGGCCAACACTAGTTAACTAGTTAATTCACTATTTACTGATTAATCGCAGAGCAAGCAGCAAGCAATGGAGAGTCCAGCATCTACGCCTCTACGAGCACATCTACTACACATTACCAGCGCCAGCTTTGAAGGTTTTCATTTTCAGTTTGAATAGTAGTTATTATTCTGAAGTGTAACTACACATCTGATGAGGATAAACTTCAAAACAGGATAGTATTCTCCAATGAAAAACATGTGCTTCCTTTTTTATATTCTAGCACAAACTTCCCTAAATATGCTGGTGAATTCCTCAATATACAATATATTAACAAATTCTCAGCAGATGATCAGACCTTTTTACTCTCAGTGAATTGTTTTTATAACTTCTCCTCAAGCATCAAACTCAAGTCTGACATTGTTAGATAGGTGGACACCGGCCAGCTATCAATTCTCACCAATACCTACCAGGTCTTCTTGATGATACATAACCAAGGTCAATGGATAAGGAACCAGGGACAATGAACCAAAATCTCAAACCAAAAGACAAAAATAATATAAACTAGTCGTTGTTGATCAGTCCCGTACCAGCAACCTGTTTTCATCCAATTTTAACGCCCGTAAATACCTCAAAAAAGACTTTGATTCAGATCGATAGTTAGTAGAACCAAAAAATTGCTGCGACAAAAGTGGAAAAAAATCAATCACAAATCAATAAACTGAACTTCATTGAACATACTGCGTACTCTCAAGATAAACCAATCTTACCAGTTAAACCTGGACACAAGAGGGGAAGTTAGCAGGGAAATATGTACGAACTCATATATAGCTACTAAAACTACCTACCAGTATTGATAGCTAGCTAGTTAACTAGCCACCCGGATTATTTATTTAATATTATTAGGAAGCTACAATGAGTACCTAGGTATCAACCGAGTTGACGGGATGAAAGGGGCAGTTATTTTAGTGCGAAGGGGGGATCTGTTACACATTCCATCATTCCAAGCTCATTACTACCCATCCTTTCACCTCATCATGAAGTACATGTACATGTACATGAACATCATATTGAATAGGTATTGTATGTATTTCCTCCCTTTGTTTCTAAGTGCTTAAATATCTAGTAACATATAGTTAACTAAGAGAGGCAAACGAGTTCCTGGTTTTGGCAGCTGAGCAGCAGGCATGACATGCTTATGTCCCGCATGCCCTAAGCAACTGTGTAACTATGTAATAGTAGCTGCAATAATAAAGAGCATGTGCATTGCATGAGCAAGGCGAGATTGTTTGCTCTGTCTGTCTGTGATCTAATATTATCATCCATGTGTTGTTAACTACGTCTATCAGAATACGGGGCGGGCAGTAAAGCCGGGGGACGGAGGATTTGTTGTTCTCTACGCGCCTCCCATACATCCCCGCCCCCATTCCCGCATGCGCACAACCAACCTTTGGCCTGTTTTAGAATGTTCTCTTTTGTTACTTCATTTCAAAGGGGATGAATGGTTAGAATTCGATGCAGTAAGTTTTTTTTCCTGGCGCGGCATTGATTATTCCAAAGTGGTTGCCTGTTTGTCACAGGTGACAGAGTGTTCCGGTGAGGCGGGATGGGAGGTTTTTTTTTTTTTTTCTTCCCCTTTTTGAGGGTGTAACTTAGGCGGAGTTTTGAGGTGGGTGTTACATTCTCAGATGCTGTCTCACGGTCAGGGGCTTCGTGTTGGTCGCAGGCGTACGCTGTAGCATAGCATTAAATTAACATTTTGATAGCGAGGCACAGCGTGATGTGCACGCTGTGCTCTGTAACTTAGGCAGAGTGTGTACGCTACTAAGAATGTATGAATAATGAAGGAGGTATACACACTTTTAACTACGGAGTACTTAACTAACTACTGTTTATGCTTTGCCAACTGAACTGATGCTGTGCTAGTCTCAGAGCGGACGCAAAATACGATCTGGAGGTTATTCGTCGGGAGCAGTTTTCCCGCCGACATTAGCAGTCGGATGGCCATGCTTCAAAGCTCAAAACACCCTTTGCTGGGCCGCCCCCCCCCCCTCCCCCTGGCAGCATGTATCGCACGCCAAACAAGCGGAGACATATTGTCCTCCTGCTACCGATATATATCACGAGCGCAGGCGGAATGCAGACAAGAGTGAGGGCCCGGTGCAACTAACCAATATGTATGATGATGAGTTCAAAGATATTGTATCTACTTGCATGTCCACTCTATTATTCCTTTTCATTTTCCCTCCTGAGTCCTAACAAACAAACAAATCACTCATGGTTCGTTCAGCGCTGACCCCGTTCGTTTCATTATTATTCGTCTCTTTCTGCCTTTTTGTAGCACCAATTATTGCCATGACATGACAGGGTTCCTTGCTTCGCGACTGGCTGGCTGGCCCAAAGGCCGGAAACGAGATAGATCCATGCAAAAATAGGGCGGCTCAGCATCTTCAGAAAAACAAATGCCCCTCAAAATGCCTTTTCCACCCTCGCTCAAACTTTAAAGAATCAGATCGACTTTTCGGTCGAATCATGGTCTGCGAGTAATAATGTATGTTTATGGAGTACGGGGTCCATTCCATTCAAGTTTTCGGGTACGTTTCCTCCGCCCGGGGGGGGGGGGGGGGGGGTAACTTAAAGAGTTTCAGCATCCCTTTTTTCAAAGTGAGGGCGCCTGGAAGCTCCAATAGAGAGCCCGCGTTTGAACCTATGGGCGGTTTTCTTCGGCGCTTCCAGGAAAAAAAAAAAAAACAAAGACAAAGCGAAAATCCTTGAGCGAAAATCCTTGAAAACCCTTCCAGGTTATCTTGCCCTGGCTGGCGCCGGTCATTTGCTAGTGGTTAGGTTTCCCTGGCCGGTGGTCAAACTGCGTCCCGAAAAATGTCGAATCCTTGATATTGTATTTTAATTTAACTATTCCGGATCGGCAATGAGAGTAGTTGATTCGTAGAAATAGTCGGCGACCTCCTTCCAAGGTTGTTTTTGTTTCCATGGATTCTGGATTCTTGCTCGTGTAGATTTGCCTCTCTCTCTCTTCCCTCCCTCAAGCTTCAGCTGGATCGACCTTCGCTCCCCTTCTCCACGATACATCCCTGGAAAATGAATTCCGAGGATGGATATTCAAGGCAGGAAATAATAATAATACTCTGTAATGGTCATTACCTGGAAAATGATGCGATGATCTGGTAGTGGTCGAGGTCTGGAACCTAAAAATAATATAATATAAATAAAAATAAAAATAAAAATAAAAATAATATAAAAATAATATAATATAAACAATTGAAAAAAGTTAGTGGAAATGTAACCTGACATTCTCCATTCTCAGATAACTAAAATTCAAGAAAGGAGAAGAAAATTTTTTTTAGTTCGAAGCGGTTGTTGAGCTGACCTTGCTTCACGGACGGGCCTCTAACGACGACGACGTCCAGCTGGTAAGTTTTCCGGCCTGTAGACATGTCTTAAATTTTATCCTGTTTCGTGCCGCCAGGAACCTGGAAAGCAGCTGCGGGGAGAAGGGGGGTTTCGAGTTGATTTCACCTTGATTTCACCTTGATTTTTACCTTGATTTTATTTTTAGTTTATTTTATTTTTTATTATTTTTTATTTTTTTTTAACTGAATAACGGTCTGCGCTTTTTACTTTGATTAGAGTATTCCCGGGGTTTCAATATTTAGCTTTCTTTGTAGATGTCAAAAGGAAACTCCACCGCTCAATTGATAGTTGAACGGTTGAATATGTATATATATGTATATATATATATGTGTGAGTAATTTTGTAGATACAAGCCCTGTCTGTATGCTGCTTATATATATTGAGCCCCTCACCTAACCGTGTTCTCTAGATGGTTCGCCCGGAAAAGTATTCTTGCGATAGTTATTCCTCCCAAGGTTATTCCTGGTTGAAACGTGATGATCACAGACAGTCGGTAACTATGAAGCTATATATTTAATGGGCTAGCTGGTGTGTGCATATATCAACCGAAAAAAAGGCGACGATGAAAAGGGGAAAAAGGAAGGATAACGCCTGTTGAGGTAACTTAACTTTATATATAATAAAGAAAATAAATAGCTTGATGGGATGGACGAGATGGTTAGATACTGATTTTCCCGCCCACCCAGCCTCCCAGTAACTAAGTAGCACTTGCTCTGTATTGTAACTATTACTGATGATAGTAGAAGCAAAAAAAAAAAAAAAAAAAAAAAAAAAAAAAAAAAAAAGATGATCATAGGTTTACTCCAAATCTTGTATGGGGTTGATGTACAGTACAGTAGTACTCTGCGGAGTAACTTACTCCGTAGATACATACATAGTTTAGTTACCTTGCAGTTATAGTTAAAGCTCCAACCTTATGGCTAGTTAACTATATAGTTACCTTGTCTGACAGCAAAAAGCAGCCTTCCCACTCGGGGCTGTAGTTACTATCCTGAGCCAAGGACACGGTAGTGGAGATAGTCAATAGTCAATAGTCAATAATAATAATAATAATAATAATAATAATAATAATAATAATAATAATAACAATTATAGTAACTACTCCGTACTCCGTATGTCTGCAGCGGGATTAATCTGGCGTGTTGTTTATTATTATTAATTTATGTGTTTATTGTTTTTGCATCAAGGAGCAGTTCCCACGCCCCTAGCCCAGGACGAGTTTAGCGGGAGCTGTTGATATCCAGCCTCAGCTCAGCTGCTGTCGTCCGTCTCCCTTCTCCCTCCACCAAACTCTCTCCACTCTCTTCCTCCGGCTCGTCGCCACTCCCTTTCCACCGTTGTTATTTTTCTGGATCTTCCTCTCCTCTCCTCTCCTCTCCTCTCCTCTCTACTCTCTCCTCTACCACCTTTCGTGCCTCGCTGCCTTTTTGCCGTTCTCTTGCCCATTGACCTCATTTAGCTCTCCGTATCTGTCGCTATCACTATCACCGCTCGCCCGCCCGGCCCCAACAAACTTCCGGGTAGCCAATCACCAAATCACTCCACTCTCTCTATATTTTACTTGCCGCTTGCTCCTACCGCGTCTCCTCCAGCTACATTACCTTACCCCCGCTCAATGTGATATTATGTGATGGATCTGTGTTCTCCCAGACCGACGACGACGACGAGGCTGCCAGCTGGGCGTCTTCTCCGTGCTTGACCGCGTGCGCCCACCCGTGTAATCAGGGGAAGAAATGGAACATGTGTCAACGGTGAGTTACTGTTTTCCCCCCTTGGTGTGTCCCTCCCTAATCGCGCGCTTTTGCTATTTTTGACCCTTGACTGCCTGCCCTACTATATATATCATCCATTGCTGTTGTTTGTGGTTGACCGCGTTGTTGTTTTTGGGTGGTGCTGCTGAGTGGTGGAACCTTGACCGCCCCCCCCCCCGCTCCCTTTCCTTTTCCCTCTCCCCTCTCCCCCCTCCCTCCCTCTCCTTCTCCCTCTCCCCTCTTCCCCCCCCCCCCCCCCGTCCCTTGATGTTTGTCCCTTGATGTTTCAATGTATCTCTTCCCCACCGACTGCTGGACAACCTGCTGCATACACCCCAATTACACGCAATATGTAGCATCAATATGCACCAAATATATACATATACACGCGTATATTAAAACTTCTTTCTGATAACGGTTGCCGCGCCCTATAGCTCTGTGCAATTGGCACAGTTGGAATCGCCGCCACGGGATTCGCCCTGGGCAGGAACGAGGCGAGCCAACCACAACCCCAACCGCGGCCCCCTTCCAAGCGACGACGTTCTATATTTCGACACAGCTATTCCTCCCCGTTAGCCCGTGTACTGGATGTGTCGTCGTCCCCGATCGACACAGTGCCTACTCGTACATCTCCCAGCACCCGAAGGCCAGCCACTTCCCATGTTCTGCTTTCCAAGCAAGTCGACGATTTCTCAGCGGGCAGACTAGATACAGCGCATCCCGCGAATGAGAAACCACTAGAAGCTCCAAAGACTCGTCCTCGTCGTCGAACTTATGTGGCTCCCCCACCTTTGTCTCTTGGACATGGTGATCACTCTACAGATGATCCTCTAATATCTTCGCCTACCGGAAGACCATCTTCATCTTGGTTACAGCGTCTCTCAATAATATCCTCTTCTCAAAACGACAGTCAGCTGTCAGGTTCGCAGCCAGGCTCACCATCTCTCAATGGGTCCACCAGTCCCTTCTTCTCTTCTCCTTTCCGTGCGGATCATCCACCCCCCAATAAATTGGTAAAACGACCGAGGTCGCAGCGGGGCCTAAAAAATTCCCAATCACAGGCGACGCAATCGGGATCTGTCGCAGCGCCCGCTCCACTGCTACGACGGCCAGCAACTAGTCACCAGAGACTCGCAAATATGAGGCAACGGTCGTCAACTGACAGTCGCGTGCAATTGGGGCCTCCCTATTCTCCTCTTCATTCTCCCAATCAAACACCCGCAGAAACATTCGACCGAGCAGATGGAACCTGGAGACCATACTTCCGGTCAGAATATCCTTCTTTCCCGGAGATTAGACGACGTTCATCCGCGAGACATAGAGATAGAGCTCGCTCCCCTCGTCGACTCGTACCCGAGCCTGGTGTCGCACCTACATTACTTCTTGCAACTTGCATACCGCGTGATACCCCCAATCATACTTATAGATCTGAGGATAATATACCGTGGATGTCTAAAGTTCAACGTCCACAGACTAGAGCTTCTATTAATTTCGATGACACCACCCTTGTTGATCCCTTTACTCAGCCTATACCAATAAGTGAGCGGAAGCCGCGACAGTCCTTGTCTGTTAGTGAAATAAAGACCGGAACTTCACCAGGTTCGTGGAAACTCTCAACCACGAAAAGTCTGGGTCGGCATCGTGGGTTTTCGTTTTCCAAGGAACGCACCATAGAAGCTAGTTCTCCCTTAGACGAGCTAGCCGTCAAACTTGATGGGCTTAATGTAAACTCATCGAAGCTTCGGAAAAGAAAACCAGTCACGAACACAGATCCGTTCAGGCGTCGATCATCTTCTTCACAAACAGAGTTTACTCCTCACCAACTTGACACGATAAACTCAGAAAACAACTCCCCCAAATCTCGCCTCCGCCGACGCCCTCAGTTTTCAGAACTTCGTGCTGAGCTCTCCCCTGAACCGATCTGCTGTGACCTAACTTTAGACTCCAGATCCAGGTCATCGTCTGGGGAACAGTCATCTAATCCTTCTGGAAACACATTTTCTTTCTTCTCCAGTCGCCCCAAAAGCCAAAGACTTTCTGCGGCTACATCTGATCCAGCTTCTACCTTGGTTGGCTCGGACAATGACACACGAATATTCAGCTCTGGGGAAGAAGATGAGACTGATTTCCAGAGCGATACAGTTTTTGACTCGTTTCCTACGCATGTTGGGATGGGCAACCCTGCAGGTCACCGCGGTCCACGTATCGAAACGATATTTGACCAGCCATCACCATCGGAACTTGCCAACGAGAAAATCAAGGTTCTTGAAAACCTAACTTCTGACGCAGTTTCGACACAATTAAGCGCACTCCATCGTGATGATGATGATGATGATGATGACCTTAATAATCCCGAAAATCCCACATTATCTAGTACTGAACCCCCAATCTTACTTCCCACCAAAGAGTCTATACAGAAACCCGATTTTTCAGTGCTGGCTTCTGCCAAAAGTGCCGATGATTGCCCAATTGAATGGACTAGTCTAGATGATATAGAACCTATGGACGACGGGGACCAACAATTGCCATCCCATCCTGGATCGGACTCTAACCCTTCGCCTCTCCAAGGTTTAATGGTGCTTCGGCCAAGGATAGATCGACCTCATTCATCGATTACGCTTAACGAAATATCTGGTAGAGAAGCGCGACTTTCGCTTTTCGACTGGTCAGAGCAACAACGCAGCGATAAAGACGTACAGAGCTCAGAGTCTCGCCCCAAAACGGTTCATGGCAAACAAGCTCCTGACACACGCGGGGGTCGCACTGTGACGCGCCGTGGTGCCAGTGCTGTGCACCTTAGAAGCCAAAGTGTACCAATTTCCCGTGAGCCATCCCTCTCAAAGAAACCTCACCAATCCAGCCCGAAATTCGGTACGTGGGGCTTGGGGAATAAAGGTGTGAGCGAGGACTGGGATGGAGACTTTGAGTTCGAGGATTCCGATAAACCAGATGGGTCGAAAGGCAATGATATACAGTTAAACCAAATGCCATCCAACCAAGGCATGAGGGTACCTAAGGCCATCATGGAGCGTCAAGCTAGTGTTCATGGCCAGTTTGGGCATGTTCAAGAATTAACATTATTAGTGGAGGAACTCAAACGTCTTCACGCCCGCGCTGGTGCGCTAAATATTCTCGATGGCCCGTCTGCCGAGTTGTGGAGGGAAGCTAAGGGCATTATTAGTCTGGCTACTCTAGAGGATGACGAGGAAGAAGAGGGAAACTATATCCCCCAGCACCAACTGCCATCACCTGCTTTTAGTGTCGAAGACTTAGATGACGATTTCTTTTCTAATGGACCAACGAATGACCAATCTGGCCGCACGAGTAATGATACTCACCGATCACCGCTCTCTGAGAAGATAAACCCGAATCCCAGTGTAAACCCGCCTACTCGACCGAGAACAGACTCTTCATTGAAAGCCAAATTCGTTCTCGACACGATACACCAGCAGCGCGGTCTCCAAGATCCCGGGTACCTTGGATCCAGCACAGACCCGCCTCAAAAGCTACCGTTTGACACGCAGTCACTGCGGGACCTTGTTATTCGAGCGGGGGTTGTTACGCGGTCTCTCAAGGAAATTGTCCGCAAGGCTGAGGGGGTGTGCGTAGGTTCCGAAGCTGAAACCAATTGTCACCCTCAAGACCCTCCATTTAGCCAAATGTTTACGCGGCCGCTCAGCGGTGCTGAGTCTAGTTGTTGTCTTCCAGATTTGGCCCGATCAAACCACACAAATGGATATCGGAGTATTGCCGCCGCTGCTGGCACAACGCCGAATGAAAATGATGGCTGTGAACGTATGACAATGATGACCGTTGTATGAACCCCCTAAAAGAATTCACGTCACGTCACGTTTTGTTTGTTTGAATGAATACGAAAGAAGTCAACGTTTTGGGAACTCCCCAAATCCCTTACTATGCACTGAATGAATAATTTTTTGAGCCTTGTTTACTTTTACTTTTTTTTTTTTTTTAAGTTTTCTTTCTGACAAGCTTGTGTTTGGTCACTCATTAATTTCCTATTTAATAATATCTTTTGTTTCTTGGTCTTTCTCGTTTAGGGATTCCTACTTTCTCGCTCCTGGTTGGATTTCTTTCTGTACGGGTACACTGGGTTTTCATTTTCCGTTTCTTTTCCTTCTCACGGATTTGTCATGGGGATACACACTTTGCAAGTTATGTTTTTGGCGTTCCCCCCCGAGCCCCCCCTGGTGCTTCCTGCTTTTGTTTCGTTTTCTTGTCTCCTTTTTCTCTTTCCCTCCTCGTCCCTTCTATTCGTCATGTTAGTTGATTTTCTTCTCTTGATTATTTCTCTCTCGTCTTGTCCTAAAGCCTAACTGAAACATAGCTTTCTTCATGTCAGACCACGGCCCATAAGAGCAAGGAAATTGCAGAAGAAACACCGAAGAAAGATGATGACAATTAAAACGCGGGAAAAAAGCCTTTTTCTTTTTTAATCTTTTGATGTATGACGCACGGTAATATGAGTACGGAGGAACTTTCCTTCCGTTATCTTCGTTTTCTCTTTTTTCGGTTTCTTTTATCCGATCGACTACCCTTATGAAGGAGGTCCCGATTGAAATGGGGTAGACAGGTATATTTTGTAGGGTTTAGATGTTCCCTTTCTTCACATCACACAGCTTATTTCTTCCACCCTCAAACCCAACTACATAGTAGAGTTCCTACTTAGTAGGTTTACTACTGTTGGTGCTACTTCGAAGATTTTCTTTTTCTTTCGTTTTCTTTCCTTTCCCCTGCGAGTGTGCGATAAAACATCTATTGAGTTTTGGCTGGGTTTTTTTTTTTTTTTTTTTTTTTTTTTTTTTTTTTTTTTTTTCCCCTCCCTCCCCCCATTTTGGCCCATTCATTTAGGGTTAGGGGAGGTTATTGTAATACACGGGGCGGGTTTTACTACTTTTGTTTTTTTTTCTATATATATAACTTTGTTCGTTTTAATCCAGAAAGAGAGAAAGAAAGAGTCAAATGAAATGATTCGAGCGGTTTTCTTGTTTAATATCTATCAATATCTATCTATCCTCTGATGCCTCTTCTTGTTTTTCTCCCCTTGTCTGAGAAATGGAATTTTTTTTACTCGGTAGCATAGCAATAGCATAACATAGCATCGCATAGCATAGCATCGCATCGCATAGCATAGCATAGCATGGAAGGAACAAAAAGTGCTTGGCCTGAATTATATGCTGACTCAGGAGTTAAACTGATTCCTATAAAGTCAACTATCTTCTTCTCTTCTTCTCATCCTGAGCTTCCAAAACTCCAAACTCATCTCTCCCGTCCGCCAACTGCCTCAGCTTACTTCAACTTACACAGTACTTGCAGAAAGCGGCTGGAAAAAAAAAAAATCCGATTACTATAAATTAACCTCCCATGCCTATCTCGCATTTCGTATTGGGACTGTCCGCCCGTTGTCCAGAACTATTATCTTCTTAAAATAAGCCAAAATCTGGCATAACTAAAAGAATAGTGGTTTTGAGAGAAAGTGCGCTCACTTCTCCTTTCCTTTCACTTCGGTTTTTCTCGAGTTTTACAGTTGTGATTTTGAGTATCTCTATCTCTCCGTCAGATGCTCCGATACTTCATCTGGGTATCAGGCTGCCCTCAGTACTGAGGATTTGTGTGTTCCTGTGAATAATTAGGGGTAATTTTTTTTTTTTTTTTAATTTTTTTTTTTTTTCGAGACACGCCCAGGGCGGGGTGATGGGATGGTTATGACATCCTCATCTTAATGGCCTAAGAATAACAGAAGATGCAGTCCGCGCAGATTTGATTGACTGTGGCTGTGAGATATCACGGTGGGCTCTCGTCGCGATTCAGTCTCTTCGTGTCTCCTTAGGCCTATTGTCTTTTATCTCATGTTTATCTCTTTATATTTCCTCTAAAGAAGCTATCTTGTCCCTCACGATACGTTCCCTTAAGCCGTAGGACGCAACCTTCTACGGCTTGATCCTGGTCTGGTGCCTTTGTCCTGATTCACCGTCCCCCTCCAAAAAAAGGCTATAAGAATAGAAGCTCGAATCAAGTCATCCGGGGAACTATGGCATCAAATTCAAGGACTGGGTTGGTGAACTTGCCGAAAGAGGTATTGATATATTTTTGAACTAACAAGTGTGTGGATTTCCTCTCTATGACTTACTAACTCTCAGCAACCCCTAAGTTGATTCAAATGATTGCCATGCTGGTAGAACTGGAGGATGTAGATATGTGTCGCATGGCCCGTACCTGTCGCTATTTTGCGGAGGCCATTATCCCACCCAATTCCGGTGTCTGGAGGAGACGGTTCTTACAAAAATACGATCATCCGCCGCCAGATAAATCTTCAGAAGAGGTTCGGGTGGAATACAAAGTGCGCAGTATTATGTTGGCGCAAACACCTTCGTTTCGGGACGGGGAGGGCAGAAAGGAGAAACTGTGGCTCAGCGTCTTGACTACATTATTTGCTGGTGCGTCTGATTTGTTCTAAGTTGGGCTTAGAATGTCCAGCCCATCTATATTTATCTGTATTTCCTAAACGAGCGAGCAGCTAACCCTGGGAGCAGAGTCATACAATACCCAACCATCCCGGCAAGGTGACGAGATGCGCGTTTCTAGAAACCGCGCTTGTATCAAAAAGGCCATCAGGAGTTCTGGCTTCCTCGATCAGCCCATAGTGGGCGATGGCGCGAATTCCTCACTCCCCCCTAGTAGGCCATATCTGGCCATCCAACTGGCCGCGACATATCTAGTTCTGGATATCAACCATTCCTTCCGCTCGCTGCGGACAGACTATGATCTGAACATTGTATATCGATGCGACTCATCGACGCCTGACATCCCCATTATTAATGCATCTAATGATGAAGAGAACATTGACCTGTACCAGCTTCTCCATATCCGAAATTTTTGGAAACGGCACCTGAGGAACCGGGATGAGAATACGTTCCATAAATCGTACCATAACATTCCGAAAATTATGAGGCCGAAGGCTTGGGAGGAGGGTCTTGGGAATAAGGGCAGTCTGGGCACTTGTTGGTTAGGATATTATTGTACGTTGTTCACTCCCCCCCCCCACCCACCCTTCCTTCTTTCTCTGCTTTTAGATTTAGCCATTCTCAAAATTTCAATTGCAAAGCCGAAGTCGTTATTTGGAAGCAACCTATAGCTAACGAACAAAAGCATGCATTCACCCGCTCCCGATCTCATCCACCGACCTACAGGAAAGGCAGACATGCGCAGACTTAATGAGCCATTGGGAAAGCACTTCTGCATTGGTAATCTTATCCCCTCCCCCGCGTCTGAAACTAATTCCATGCGACAAGCCAACGCTCCCAATACCTCGTACAGTACAATCACCACCCGAGCCCAAGAAATAACTAACAACATCCCACAACATCAGCTGCTGAAACTCCCCACACTCACCACCAACGCTTCTATTTCTACAACATGGTTCCCCCTCTTCAACGAAGCCTACCCTATAAACACTAACGTCGAGCCCTCATCCCGTACCTACTTCCGCGGCACCCAATCGCTCAACCTCGATCAGAACCACCACCACCACCACCACCACCACCACGACGCCCACGACGACGCCCATGACAGCAACGACCAGCCCCACCCCAACTCAATGCGGGGCTTCACTGAACCCTGTCCTGCCCAAGCCGGCATTCCTGGCTGGCGTCGCATATGCTTTATCATTTATGAAATTAACCCGGAGTTTTTCGTCTCTGCTGCTGATGACAATGACAATGGCGACGGCGGCGGCGGTGGCGGTGGTGGTGAGGGCGACGAGGAGGTGGAAGGATGGTTGCCGTGGAGCTGGACTGCGGTGGATTTTCTATGGGCGTATGGGTATGAAGGGGTGATTGTACCCGGGGGCGGCATTATGATGGGTAGGTGGAGGAATATGATGGTGGAGGCGGAAGTGGAGGAGGGACCGTTTGTATTTTGGGTGGTTTGATGTTTTTCTTTTTTTCTTTCTTTTTTCCTTTACGCTCGATGAGCAGGGGAGAGGGGATAGGGAATAGACAATTAGATTTGGATGCGGTATGGGGTTTGGAAAGGGGAGATTGACAGAAGGGTGGTTCATCTAAGTAGTTCCCCTGAAAATCCCATTATATTTATTCTTTAAGGGTAAAAGGGACCCCTTTCGCGGATAGTCGCAAAAGAGAACAAGAAAATAGATATATTAACATACAACATACGCCCAACCTCATTAGAAAAGAAAAAAAAATACCGCTTTCGCATCCCCAACTAAACTCAGTCCTCAATATCCTTCACCTTCTCCCACTGCCCCTTCAAACTCTCCTTCCACAAACTGACTTTATTATCCCCACCGCTGACAGCTAGGACATTCCCACTCAAACTCCAGCTGACACGCCATAACACGCAATCGAACTCTAGATGCTGGCTAGTCCACTCGTTGGGGTTTGAGGGATCGGAGATCCAGATGCGGACGGTCTTATCTTGGGAAGCGGAGGCGATGTACGATCTGGAGAGGATGCTTGGTGACCAGGCCACGTCACGGACCCAGTCTGTGTGGCCTTCCAGCACCTTGGTTACCGTGTATGCCTTGTTTTCGGCGCTGTTTTGTTTGGGTTCGTTTTATCAGCATAACCCATATTTCAGAGCAAGAGAAATCCAGCAAAAAAAAAATGCAAGTGGGATAATAGAATAGAAAGAAATTGTGGAAACAGCATACTTATACTCCCATATCTTAACAAGATTATCACTCCCGCCTGTTACAAACCTGCGCAGCTGTCCGGCGCTAGGTGTCGCGCTAATGATAGAGCCAGGAGCAGCGGCGGGTGCCCAGCTGACGGAATTGACACCCATGCCGTGGGCGTGGAACAGCTGGTGCGTCCAGCTATTGTCGCTGAATTCGAGTACGCTTACATTGCCGTCGGAGGAGGCACAGGCGAGCAAGCAGCCACTCTCATGGGGCGCCCAGGAGATGCCGTTGACGGAGGCGGTGTGCAGGGAGAAATCAAAGACTTTTGTCCAGGTGCTGGCGGTGGAGGCGGAGGCGGTGCTAGGGGCTTGTTCGCGCCATATGAGGACTTTGCCATCGTAGGAGGAGGAGGCTAGGATTGTTCCGAATTTGGGATGTGCCTTTTTGTCACGGGTTAGCTTGAGCTTCAGAGGGTAAGGGGGCCTTCTCTAACGGGTTTGTACGAACCCACGCAATACACCATACTGCTCCCTCGTGCCTTTGAAGAACAAAACATTTTAATTTAGTATTTGGTAGTATAAATTTAAAGTCGTAAAGCTGGGGAAAAGGGTGGCTCGTACCCTTTCAGCGTCTCGAGAAGCCGGTGCGAGTCGCCCTCTACTTCGAAGATCTTAATTGTTTTGTCTGACGAACATGTTGCTAGTCTGCGACCGTAGTAGTCTAGAGCTGCATCATGCTATGGACGAGGGAATCTGTTAGAGCTGGGATGCGCCTGGTGGCGGAGGAGGGGAGTAACGCTGCTGAGGAGCATGGACATACAATCATGTCATCGTGGCCAGAATTCGTTATAACTTGCGCCTGCAAAAGGGGTTAGAGGAGCATCAGATGAACCTGGCAGAGGAACGGAACAGTACCTACCATCTTGGCTGTTCATAAAATGGCGGGACTGGCGGGGGAATGTCAATGTCGGGTATTTATATCGATCTGTCTGCTTGTTGTCCTGGTTTGTTCCTCCGCGTCCTGAGCATCGGCGGCTATTACTGCCAGCTCGCCGCAAACTAGACGCCGCGCCAAACACTTCCTTTTTCGGAAACATCAAGCAACCCGCCCGCACCTGCTGACATAAGTCGTCCTGATTTCTCCACGTGAGTAGCCTCGGTCCGCTGCCAGTCTCTTCCTCTCCTTCTCCTGCGCCGACATCATTGCTCATATCCGGATATACGGAGGTTCACAGTCTGATTAAAGGGTTAGATCCGAGGAGTGCATACATATTTACATGCTTTAAAGCACTCTATATACTCACATCCTATCCATTTTATCATTTCGTTTACTGGGCTCGCCAATCATCCCCTCATACCTGCGGCTGTCGACCCTAGCTTTCCTTTGCCGGTTGCTTCTTCCCCCGGTCCTGTCGCGCGTTCAACTTAGCCCAATTTGACTTGGACTTTATAGATTTCTAAATTATAGCACCATGGCGGATGCGCTATGTGGTCCTTCCAACGCTCTTCAGAGCTTCCAAAAGCATACATCTGTAGATAGGACCCTGCAGCAAGACCGAATACTTTCGCGCCACTCGCCTGCTCAGGTATGTCCTCCAAGTTTTGAACCAGATAACCTGATTTAAATCATGCTGACTAGGTATCTCAGGGCTTCCGATCTCAAAATCATAATGAAGGCGCCCTAGACCCAGAATTCAACGCCTTTGAAGCAGGTGTACCGGGCGTTCATATTTCTGATGTCCAACATCCAGCATCGTTTTTACAACCCGCGCCGCAACACCCGACTTTTAATCACACGGCAAATTCTGGATGGGCATCGGATTTTCAAAACCTGCAAATATCGGGCCCGGCACAACGTGTACACCAACAGCAGTTTCGTCCGGAATCCTCTTCTAGTGGTTGGCAGAATGAATTTATGCAACACGCGCATCAGATACCCCAAACACAAACACACCAACCGCAAATATCTCAGGCACCCCTTAGATATGGTCCAGCTATAGGGGGGATGGGATTTGGTGGCATGAACGACCACCTGATGTATCAAGATGCATCCCAGTCACATTTTCAAGAACATAAGGAGGAAGCAATATTTGACGAATCTGCTTTTGAGACCGCTTTTGCGGAAGCCCGAGCGGAGATTGAGCTTCAAGAACAGCAGTTGCAGAACGGAGAAGTCACAGAGCGAACTGAGATTCAGCAGACGATTAGAATAGGCGCAGATAGTATCCAACCCCAAGTTGACGGGACGAATGATTCGGATGAGCTTGCAAGGACAGCGGGACAATTGCTCGACAGCGTCAGCCACGACCAGAGCCAGAAATTCAAAGAAAGCAACTTTCTGTCCCTGATGCGACAACTCCGCGATCGCGAAGTCACCGTTGACGGCGACGAATTCCGCCAAGTCAGTACCCTCCCATAAATATATACATAGAATTATATATAAATATAATACGAACGCATGTTCTGGTTTTTCCTGGAGAAAAGCAGGAGAGCGTTGGCACCGGTACACTTTTGTCTATGAATCTGCACGATCAAACGGGACTTGTTCTAGCATGCTAACGGGAGCTTTTAGATGGCGCAGCCGCTACATCCTGGTGGTCAATATTATCCAGAGCGGAAAAAGACCCAACAACTTGATGCCCGAGATACTACCACTACTACCACTCCACCTAGCACCACTAACGAAGTCAACAGCGGGATCAACCCGGCGAAGGATTTTGAACAACCTGCCACTTCGTATCCAAAATCAAGGGTGCCCTATGAGACACCTGATGGCCATTGGCCTGTCTAGATATTTGACATGCTTCCCCTAGTCTTTTGGAATACCCAACACGGTGACGCAAGGATTGGAAGTCGGATTCACGAAGAGTACGCCCGTCAGGTTATATGCGGCGAGCGCATATCCTTGGCCGATACATATCTTTTATTAAAACGTACTTAAACGAGCTAGTTATGTCTTGTTTATATTATTTTCCCGGTCTGTTGGATTTTGTCACCATCGTTGAGCTTGGGCGGTGAGGCAAGGCCCAAGACAACGGCAAGACATAGTATATACGTGAACGTTGGGGAGTTTTGGAGCATCACGTCTTTTGGATAGCAGGGCATTTTTTTGTATTTTAGATATTACATTTTTAGCATGCATCTATACATTTCGCTGGATGCAGCATCCGTAATGATACCAGCCATATTCGGAGAAGCGGAAGATGAATTCAGATTGCTCATGACATTCGACACCAAACCTGGTCTACAAGAGTTTACTTTGCGGATAGTCAAGAAATGCTATAACTAGTTAACTAACTAATAAAAGTATAATAATGTAATGAAATAAAGACCAGAGCGCTATTTGGTCCAAGTTCCATGCCTCCAGCCGGTGATTGGATGCTGTTTGTGACATGTTTACTAGGTAAATAGTTCAGCATAGCTTTAAGCCTCAACTCGGTCCATTGAGTTCCATCTCAACTCCGACAACAACCAACATCACCACCACCATCACCACATCTCTATCACCGCCGACTTCTCCTCTTCACCACGACAGATTCATTCAGTTTCTAATTATACCTACTCGACCCACCGATTATCCCATAGAGCTCCAATTTTCCTACGACTTGGGGTACCCCTTGCTTGCCCAACCCAGCCTCCATGCTTTCACCTTCCATATCTCCTTTGCTCCTTGGGTCCCATTAGACTGGCATTGCTATCTTATCTCGATTTCTACGTTGCTTTTGCCTTCCGACCCAGACTCCTACTATCCGTATTTGACAGACACAACTCCTTCAATTCCTTTCCGCATCGCATGCAACCAATATTTTAAGCGTCACCCCTCCCACAGCACATCACACCGATTCCTAGACATAATACTACCCATCCTCAATCGCGTTGTCCAGCACTCAAGACCCATCAAGCTCGCCCAACACGGCGCAGCCATCTAATTCACACCACGCGGCACTCACCGTGGAGAACGACGACGATTCATACACTGCTCCTCCTCCTCACTCACCAAGCTCGGCCTCTTCCTCGAGCGCACCCTTTGCTCTTCCCTCTCCCTCATCCTACCCACCACCTTTCTCATCCCTTTACTCCAACCCGGACGACGACGAGGGGCTCGATCGCACCCAGGCATCCGTCACAGAATCTGGTGGTTCACCATTTATCCCAGCATTCGCTCCAGCACCCCCATTCAAAGAAACCTCCCCCTCGCCTGCGCAATCGCCTGTTGTCTTAGATACCAAAGCCGCACTTTCGCGGGATAAGACAGGAGAAGCATCGGGCAAAGGCCTAGACGACGGAGAGCCGCCACCGCCGTATACTGAAGGGTATTCACCGCTCCAGTCCTTTACCTACGTCATGGCCGCGGCCGGAGGAGCTGCGTCTATAATTACGCAGGTACAGCAGACAGGTGGAGGCCCATTGAATACACTTGGAGGTATGTACGCCCCTACAATGGTTCATAAGCAGGTACTGCGTAGATGTTCCGGAATCTTGCTAATAAATTGTTCGGTTTTACAGATATTGGGGGCGATGAGCATATCACGTTAGATTTACGGTTAGTTTTCTATATTTTCTCTACGGATTTAGACCCTTTTGCGGAAGAAATTATCCTGTAGCTAACGAATTGGGTGAGCAGTGGTACTCGGTTTACGCTGTCGCGCGATGAACTACTCACTCTACCAGAATTCGTTCTTCTTTCCTTATTCCCGAATGGTCTCCTTCCTGATGGACATATGGGGACATTCCATGAAGGCGATGTATACCCCGTCGACGTAAGTCCCCGAGCTATTTTCCTCATATACTCAAGGACTATCTTCCCATTATCCTTAACCAAACACGGCACTGATTTACATGGCGCCATTCCATTTAGTACGACCCCGCCTCTCTTCAATACATGCTAGATTTTTTCCGCTCTGTAGCGCAATCGATTCCTTCATCCTCGCCGTCCCCAACCACGTCCCCTGAAGGAGATTACGCTATCGATCCAATGCATGGGTCTCCAAGGGATATGCTGCGGGATCGGGCGGGCATCATTGTGCTTCGCGAAGACCTTGACTTCTACGCAATCCCGCCCGTAGTCGATATTGACCACCCGGAAATGATCGAGGTGAAGCGAGCTGCCGGAAGAGCCTTGTTGAAACAAGATGGGATCTTTTCAGGACTCCGAAAAAGCGATGAACCCGGATCGACTGAGCAGCATCTCATTGAGATGTTAACCGCTGGGTAAGTACTTGTACCTCCTCTCTCGGTGTACATCGATTCACACACAAACACACACATATATTATATGTAATTACATGAATTGCTGACAAGAAGCTAGCGGTTTCAACCATGATGATCGATGGGGCCACCGTGCCGGCGAACCGAACAAAGCTGTAATTTGTAGTTTGGCACTGGCGAAGCTCCGGGCTGATATACGAGGCGACTTGACCAATAATAGCCCCTTCGGGATGGAGCAGAAACTTCTCCTTTTTTGGCGGAAGCCGGCGCGAAGGTGCTGGTGGGAAGGTGTGGAGCTTGAGGGCGTGGAGGGAGTCGAGGGGAAGCTCAAGGTTTGGATTCGGAGAGTGTGGACGCTTGAAATGGTGAGTGCTTGTGCTCAGATTTAGTATCTTCTTACTATTCCCTTCGACTTTTCAAAAATCCGAAACTAATGCATTATTTCTAGAGCGTCATTGGACTGCGTTGACGGAGAAACTTGGAAGCCATGTAATCACAAAATCGGCTTTCTCATGTTGAAGTTGATTACCGCATAAAACTGCTCTGCTTGCCCTATGCTTTTGTTCTCTGAAACCCCGGCATGCCTAATTTATTGTACTCATACCATACCACGTCTGCCTTTGATTTTTGGTATTTTCGTTATTTTATATCTTGACAGCACGTTTTCCTTATATCCCTTGAGACTAGTTTTTTATTTTTTTTTACTCTAAGCCTATTTCCTCCTCCTCTTCCATTTTGACTAACTATTAAACTATTTCGTTGAATGCTTATGTTTACTTTCCCCTCCACCTGTACTGCTATGTCTTATCAGTCACCTGGGAAAGCAGCTTTATTTCTTTCCTGTTCTTGAGATTATACACAGACGCACATCTATTGTTACTAGTTCCTACTCCCTTTCCATTTATTTACCTGGCAGTAGATATTATAAAGTTAGCTTGAATTCATTCTTGCTTGAATTATTTTCCTGACTTCCAGACCAGAAGAAAGTCAAGGTTACTTTGGCGCTAACTGGAGGCTCGGCGGATGCACTAGTCTAAATCCGGCACTAGCACAGCCCAACCCAATCGGGCCAGACGCGAAGCATCCTGGAAGCATCAAAACCGCTAGGGAGAGAAACGCAACAAGAAGGACTATACATCCTCCAACTCTGTGGGAAATAACCAGCATAGCTCACGGTAGTTGATGCTTGTAGCCACCCAATTTTACCCTATATCGATATCAACCCAGCGTTTTTACCGCGACAGCAACAACGAGAAGCAAGGAAGCATCTTTTTTTCCTTTTTCGTGTCGCAAACCGGATCGAGCTTGTTGGGCAGGTGCATAAGGATATACACCGCAGTTGCCGCATCCCATCTCACCTCGCGAAACCAACGCCATGGTGGAAAAATTAGTATATAAAGAGCACCATTGACTACAAGAATTGGAACAACCAACGACACTATGGCTCCCGTTCAAGGGTACATGACTTCCTACTCCCCTCGCCTCCGCCAGTACGCGAACGCGCTCCTCACTCCATCCATTCCCCCTTCACAAGGTGCACCTGGCGCGCGGACGACGAAACGTGGTACCATCGCCATAAACTATGCGGAGGATGGGTACGACGATGATGACTTTGACGATAGCGAGGGACCACGACGACCGACGGGATTGAGGAGTTTGAGGAGGGAGGAACTAAACCCGGATAGAGGGCCGGCGGGGGAGAAGTTGGGGACAGAGATATTCCAACCCGTCGATGTGCAACCGAACTTTAGGGATTGGGTGGTTAAAAAGGTTTTGAAGCCGGCGTATGTTCATCATTTATCCCCCTTTCGTTATTTCCTTTGTTCGGATGATGTAGATATGAAAAACTAACGGAGGTCGATGTTCATCCGTGTTTAGGAGGAAGAAACAGCTGAGCACACAAGCACAACTCCCATTAACCCTAGTGCCCATCCGTATCGATCTCGAAGTACCCGCCTACCAACCCGCAGAACCATTCCCTTTACCGCGAAACTATCTAGAACTGGGTATCAACCCTGCCTCGCCCGCCTATCGAAAACCAGAACCAGCGCCTGCTTATCGAATTAAGGATACCTTTCTCTGGAATCTACACGAAGCACTCACGACACCCGAAGAATTTGCTACAACCATGGTGCGCGATCTAGATCTACCAAATCCGCAAGCAATGACCGTGGCGATCTCCAACCAGCTCCGCCAGCAACTGGAAGAGTATGCCGGCGTCGCATTACACCCCCTATTCCAAAGCCCACAGCAACAAACAATTACAAACCCCCAGGCAGCCTCCTCGAGAGGCGTCTCCGCAACTCCCGGTGCCACGAGCGCCCCAACGCCCGCTTCTCTAGCAGACACGAGCCCCGGAAAGGGCAGCGTAATCGTATCCTCCCAGCAAGCCACCACGGATGACAACGAACTAAACCCCGACGACGCCTACCGCTGCGTCGTGAATTTGAACATAAACCTACAAAACAGACTCTATACAGATAAATTCGAATGGTCCCTACTCCACCCGCAAGGACTCGCCGAGGAATTTGCGCGCGTGACATGCGCAGATTTAGGCCTGGGCCCCGAATGGGTCAGCGCCGTGGCGCATGGTATTTACGAGGCCGTGTTGAGGTTGAAGAAGGAAGTCTGTGAGAGCGGTGGGTTGATTAGCGGGCTGGGCGGATATGGAAATGAGATTGATAACCAGGCTGCAAATGGGCAAGAGGCTGGGTGGCGCTATGATCCAGATGGACTGGGCGATGAATGGGAGCCGAAGGTGGAGACGTTGTCGAAAGAGGAGATTGAGAAGAGGGAGGGGGATCGGGAGAGGCAGATTCGCCGATTGCGAAGGGAGACAGCGAGGTTTTCGTCGACGAGTGGGATTGCACCGGAGTTGACGAGGCAGCAGAGTTCGTCTGGTGGTGGGTATTTTGATATTCCCGATGAGCCGATGGGGAGGGGTGAGAGGAGTAAGAAAAAACGTCGGTTCCGGAGTATCAGCCCGCTTGGGGGGAGGAGTGGGACGCCTGGTGGCGGTGGGAGGGGCACGCCGGATACCGGGGCAGGTGCTGGGTATGGTGGCGGTGGGGGGACGCTTAGTGACTGGTTTGTTAATCCACTCCTTCGCTTTCCTTTCTAACTTTTTGCTTGGATATCATTATTTCCTAGATATGACGCTAATATTTGGTGCATCATCAGGGAGAGACAAACATGGCGCTGTGCTAATTGTGCCGTTTGGGGCACAGCGGTTTGGGCTGTTAGAGATGGACCGGCTGGGCCAAGGGTAAGCAAAAAATGGATTGAACATATATCACTCCATCCATCACTTTCCTTGATCGCTGCTTATTTTAGCTGGCTCCGTCTCGCAAAAAGAGAAAAAGCTCATGAATGCTGACTATTTTGCACCTGCGTTTGTGGTTTTATCTAGACATTATGCCACAGCTGCGGCTTGCTATATGAACGTGATAAGCGGATGCCAGTATGGTCCATGGCACTGCATCGCATTGATATACCCGTTGGGCGTTGATTTCATAATTTATTTCGATTTTGATTTCTTTTACAGAAAAGAAAGGGACAAGTCCGAATGGGAACTGGAATAGGAATTGGAACTGGAGTCGGATGCGTTGTGCGGAACCTCCGTCCCCCTCCCGCCCCCCCTTTTTTCCCCTTTAAGGACTCTTTTTGTGGTTTGCCATATTCGAGTTACAAACAAAATACGTACAGAGTACATGTAAAACGACTTTTAATTTTGATTGATATGATCTGGTGTACCTGACTGACCAATTGCTCACCATGATATGTGAGAAGCATAGTCCTTTTTTTTTTTTTTTTTTCTCCCTATATGTAACTGTATCTTGTGGAATCAGCTTGATGTGTTGAAATGTATATCATGTATGAGAAATCCGAGCACGTTTTCCTTTACTTCACACACATGGTTAGTTGGGTGGCGCGGAAAACGGAATATTTATTTCTTCAGTCGAGATATGTTTAATTTGGTTTACTTCTGGAAAACTACGAGTAGAGTCGATGATTTGACTGACTGCTTTTTACGTATGCAGAAGTTGTTCCTATTATTTCTTCTATGCGTCTGAATTCAACTTGAAATGTTTAGCTACGGTCATGGAAGAGGTAGACACCGTTCCCATCATGCCATCAATGGACTCAGAACACCTTTTAACTTTCTAACTAACAAGATTGGTGATATTAGTTTATCTTCAAAATATGTATTTTATTTTATCGTTGAATATTTGGTCCGCGTATATATACATAAAGCCTATCTTCCTTCTTTCTATATACATACCCCAAAAAAAAAAAAAAAAAAAAAAAAAAAAAAAAAAAAAAAAAAAAAAAAAAAAAAAAAAAAAAGAGATCGTTAAAATCATTCATCACAATTATCGCATAGTAGTGGCTTTTTCTGGCTCTTTTTCTACCGGCGCCTTTCCTTCTTCGTTTCCCCCACAACCGCAAAGAAAAACGCCATCTGAAAGGAGCCCACCTATTCGATGCGATGCTTGGGCAACGGGCAATAATGAAGGCGATCCTGTTGTATTTTCCACGCTCGGGTATTCATTTTTCAAGCTAACCATAGTGCCATATTACATGACATGCACGCCACCATGCAAAAACTTCCGAGCCTTGAAGCGCCAAGAGCCATTCACCAGATCATTGACATCGACATCGACATTGACGACAACGACAAAGGGCAGTCAAGTTCCCTGTCACCCTGTGACTGTTAAAATATGACAGATATTCAAATTCATGCATACAGGCGTGGGCAATAATGCATGGAATTACGTATGTGTGTGACGCGAGAGCTCTCAGGGGGTGATGAATGGAAGAGGAAGAGCCGGATGCGGAATAATGGCTTGGCTGCATGGAAGTGCCGCCCGGGAGCGTGGAGATCGAAAGAAACAAATATATGTATGTCGTGCCAGGGATGCCTTTGTGGCATAGTTTGGCGAGGGTTTCTTGTTATTTTTGTTCGTGAAATATTATGCCTTTTCTGTAGGGTGGTCTGAGGTCACCTCTGGATAGATAAGCCATGGCTCTTTCATCTGTGCTTGTATTTCTCGTCCATGGACTGGAAGATAGGGCTCATAAAAAGCATTCCCGTTCCGATTGGTTCGACAAATGGTTTGTGAAAGTGTCGTTGTGATATTGCATAAAATGTACTAGATAGCGATACCACGGGGCGATGGAGATGACGATTTCGTTTACAGTTGCGCCTTCTTCGAAGAGGGTATGTCAATGGGTTGCTGCGAATAATATGTCAGGCCACCGTATAAATATATAGCAAAGAGTAAAAACGGTAAGACATTCATACCGAAGTAGCCCTCCTTTTCCTCCCCCGCCTCGACAACTCCTCCTGCTCATCGGACAAGGAATCCGAACACCCAGCATGACTCAACTCCGGTCTCTTCGGAACACCAGCGCACACGACATTCCTGTCACCCCTGATACGTATGCCAGAGCTGACGTTGACTTCCACAGGCCGCTGTCTGCCCGACTCCATATGATCCATGATGCCAGCTGCTTTTAGCGCGGAGATAATGGTTGTCGCGAGCTGTGCGGATTTGACCTGTCGCTGTTGCTGGAGTTGCTGCAAGGGGGAGTTCCCGCCGGCAGCAGGTAGTGAAGAACGCGATGGCGATGATGATGGCGATGTTGAAGTTGAGGTGGACGTCTGAGGTTCCTCAGATGTCGATGCGCCGATTGATGTGGGGATGACGATGGTATTCCCCTGCCCCTCAATATCTATAGATGTGTCGATTTTGATTGTGATGGGGCCCATGGCTGTGCTCTCCTCGTCGTCATCATCAATGATGTCTGCAAATGCATCCTCGACTGGAGCTGGAGCAATTGCAGCTGCATATGTTGGTGGTGGCTGCGGAGGAACAAGCCTATTTTGAGACCGGAGGCTGGCGACGAACTCAGCCAGCTTGTAGTTTTGGTGATTTATGGAGTCTGAGGGGGGTAGCATTTTGTATTTCCTTTTCTTGCTAGAGTAGAATATCAATGTGAGTGGGAGAGGAGATATATATCAGGCCTTAGGCAATGGTGACGGAAGAGGCTGCGATTAAGGGCATGAGCGTAGGGATATATGAGTTTAGAAAAGTATGAATAGAATGCATATATAAGTAAGGCAGAGATTTGAGAAAGACAAAGGCCTGACTTTAGTATGGTTGTTATTATTTCGCAGGATAATATAATGCACAACCGGGATGATGCAGATAATTAAGAATGATTATGTTGTTTCAGGCTCACGGATCGCTGCTGATGTGACAACACAGCCCTATATCAAGACCCGAATAATGGGGAATTTATGGCTGAGAAAGGCGGGGCATCACATCTGTTGCTCCATGCAGTCAACAATTATCAAAGTTAAAGAATACGGATTGGGGGAGGAGGGGGCGGGGTTGCTCGGTTCGCTCTAGCAATATCTGCATATCAAAATAGCCTCTAGTTATCGAACAACGCAACAATATGGTCGCATGGAAATGCAAGGAGGGATATATATATATATATATATATATATAAAGAGCCTGCAACAACAATAAGAGAGGAGAGAAGAATGGAGAAAGGGAGGTAGCAAAAATTAAGAATTGAGGAACCGCCTCAATAGCACACCAATAGAGAAAGAAAATGCTCTCCCAGCACTTGCTTTCCGTTCACAGGCCGAAATTGGCTAGTAACGATGCTCCCCGCGTCTCAGGTTATAAAGCCGACATGCCAGCTGGGATAATACCGGCGAGGTAGCCGCAGGGGGTATTCAATAACGGTTTAACTCTTTCTGTCCTCATTTTTTGGCCCATGACGGATAATAGTAAGAGAGGAATATAAACAGCAGTCGCAGTTAGTTGTATACCCGTTTCGGCTAAATGGCTTATCGCCAGCCATCATCACCACCACCACCACCACCAACAACAACAACAACAATAAAAAGCATGCCCGACTCTGGGCAAAAATGCTGGAGTGGGGGCAAACTGTATCTATTATTGTCATTCGGGGATTAAATCATCCAGTGCCCGCATAGTTGGGAAAAGGGACGAAAAGCACGAAAGGAAAGGAAAAAGAAAACCTACGGGTAGAGGGCCTAACAGACACACACTTTTAGGAGGGGGGAATTGCTTGACTGCAGCCACTGCCGGACAGTTTCCTTGCCGCCGGACCCTAGGCGGCTGACAGAGGAGCTAGGAATCAACATCTTTCAAAGAAAAGAAAAGAAGAGAAACTCTGCTCTAATAACATTATTGACCTCCATTTCCAGCAATTGGGGAGAGAACGGCGGCACAAGCTCCTCTAGGTTCCGGGTGGGGGGTGTAACCTCAGTGTCGGTGTATCTTGTCGAATGGAACAGAAAAAGAGAAGAAGGATGGGAAGAAAGCAAGTTTCCGCTTGTTCGAAACCATCTTTCTCTCTCTCTCTCTCTTATCTCAGACTCCCATACCTATTGTGAACAGGGTTGGACAGGGTTTCTCTTTTGTTTCTTTTTCTCCTATTGTTGGAACGGGCATCAATAGGAAATCGGCTGGAGGTTGGCGATGGCAATTAGGGCTGGCAGGGGTCATGTGAGGGCGCTTGGCCGGATTGGGCGATTGAATTCCATTCGCCCAAACAATAGGACTGGAAAATTCGAGCATTGGCTTGGGCAGGGCTGGGCTAGCAAGCAGAGGGGGGGGGGAAAGTTGTTTGTTTATTGATCCCTCTTGGTATTGAGCGCTGGCCAACTACTTACAAGAAACCTTGCTTGGCCCGGACAATAAACAGGATTAATAGCAGGCTTTATCCTCGTTCAATGATCGCTTAGGTGGCTGTGATATTTCTGTTCGCAAAATTGAGTATTTTACTTTTATTCTTTTTGGGCCTGGGACTAATAATGTGATGCCACTAGCTGTACGATATTCTGTTCGTTCTATTCTATCCCCTTCTTTTGCTGTCAATACTGATGTTGTTTCGCCTTCTGCATTTCGGTTATAGCTGCCACGTTATCGTGGGGGTCGCAGAGTTGCATGAATATGTGAAACTAGACAACAATAATGAGAATAACAATAAGGGCCCATTGCAGAAGGGAGCAAGTCGACGGATGCGTTCATCAATTCCATCCTTGGCTTCATACTTCTCGCTCAGCATAGCTTTGAATCATACCCTCCAAGGTTGGTTCATACTCCTTCAACACCACCTTATCGCCCTCTAGGACAGTATTGGCTTGCACAAACACTTTGCGCGGGATCTTCTTCTGCAGAACAACCGGTCGCACTTGTGATCCCCACCACTCATCAACATTCGTAATCTCGTCGTACAGCGCTTTTCCGGCTTCGACATCTGCCGTTGATTTGTAAATGTGGAGTTTTTGTAGATACTTCGCTACTGCTGGTCGACCATGGCTCAAGATCTTGGACCTGTCAAGGTGAATCTCAAGATCGGAAAGGTCATCCTTGGTATGCACCAATTTCACAAAATCACCACCAGCATCGAGGAAGGTGCGCAAAATGCTGTATCGTGCCTGCATGTGAGCTTGTCCCCACTTCGAGCTCTTGGGGTCCCAGAATTCAAGCGCCACTACACCAGCTCTGGCCATCTGTAGGTAGCTGGCATATAGAACATTCCCAGCCTCACCGTTTATATCTTCCTCTCCGTTGCCAAAGCCAAACAGCTCTAATATTTTGAAGTCACAGCCAAGAACCATAGCCACACATTCGGCGCGGCATTCTTCGTACGATGAGGCGATAGCCCCAAAGACTGAGCTCCAGGTTTGTCCTGGTTTGTACCAGGTCGTTATGGGTTTTTGTGTTATAGGGCTGATTGGTGGGTTGGAGATATCGAAGTTATACTCGCCAGGAGCTGTCTCTTGAAGTAATTTGCCGGTTCCATGGCCCAGTAATTCATGAATTCCGACCTGTTTTGAACATCACATGTTAGAGATTTATCGATGTTGAAGATATGGAAGTTTGTGATCCAGAGGGTTAAGGGACAACAGGGAAGGTCAGTACGTACCTGGACCTCAAACGCGGGATCCCGGTAGTCTCGGAATAACTGAAGATCCTGCTCCCTTATAAAGGGTACCGGCTCATTGGGCGCTTTGGCACTACACAGCAAAATGTCAGCACACTACGTGAGATTAATATATGTATCAGATTGACAATGCATAAATACCTTAAAACGTTGCCTAGGGACACATTCTTGTACCCAAGGTTTTGTCTGATATCATCGTAGTTCGGGATGTTGATGCCAGCAGGTATTCCGCTACCCGCGAAGGAGAGAACTTCTAATGAAGTAAAATCAGGCGACAAGAATTTATCCTTTTCGAAGTCTTTGCCCCAAGGAAGTTTTGGGATCATGGACTCCGCATTCTCAACAAGTTTCCCGAACGCCTTAGTCCGCTCTTGATTGACCTAGGTAGAATGTCAATGGCAATGCCGCACACAGCATACGTATCTGAGCGTTTGGTGGGTGATAGTTAGCATACCATCGCAGCAAAACCCTCCCATTCTCCACGGACACCATGAGGGTCTCTATATGTTTCCACAAATCCAAGATCTGACTCGACCACTGGTCCCACATCCTTAATCCATTCCCTCTGACTTTCCTTGAATGCTTCCAGGGATCCGGTAGTGAAGGACTTCACGTATTGCTGATGCATTCTCTTCTGTATGTCATTTGCAGCATTCAACCCAGCCTGCTTGACACTCTCTGCAATTTTCGCCATCTCCTCAGAATGGTCACCAAAGACAAGGTGAAGAGTTTTGCCTTGCAATTTGCCTTCGAGTTCCCACTTATGAACATCACCAACATCTCGATCGCTGCCTGCCGGTGACTTTTCTGCAGATGCAATCAGCAACTCGAAGTCTCCAGACTGGGTTTTGCGCAACCTTGTGTTCTCCGGTAATAACTTTTTATCTTCCAAAAAGGAAGCTATCAGAGAGATCTCTTCGGTCGTGATGTTTGGGGAGTCGGGGTAATAGGTCGACATGTGTCCGTTTTCTGGATAACCGAGATGCATCAGATCGGTAGTGGCGGTCTCATATATCCCTCCACCAGACTTTGTCGCTTTCTCCCATGCTGCTTTTGTTTCTGGAGTAACGGAGGCGAGCGCTTCCAGGGCGTCAGCAGGTATTCTAGGAATAAATTTGGAATCTCCGAATCCCTTGTACGATCCGCAATTGCCTAAGAACTGGGTCGCGTATTCCAGGAAGAAGCGTAGATTTTCTGCGCTCACACCGGTCTTCTGGGCCAGGGAGTTCCAATCGCCATTGCAAGCACGGTAGAGGGAGATGATCAGATCGTAGATGGGTTCGGACTCCGGGGAGACTTGGCGTAGCGTGATCCGAGTTCCTTGGAAGGCAGCTCTGCGGCATGGTCAGTTCTATTTCTTTGAACAATGTGCTTTGTTTGCATTTTGGGAATTGGGGGAAATTGGGGTCATGGGATATGTAGGCAAGTGTCCAAAGGGAACCATGAATATGTTCAATGAGCAGCAGAGTAGCATAGCCTAGGTGGAAGGAATATAAGAATAAAAGAACTACTTACCTACTGATGAAATGAGCATATCGTTTCTGCTTGTCGTCTAGCGCCTCGAAATGAGGTTTGATCTCTAGCCTGACCACGGTGGGCGGGGAGTCGGCGAGATACTGCTGCTTAGCCGTCACGTCCATGATAGATGGGGGGGTCTCGTTGTATACTTCTGTTGTCGGTTTCAATCGCGTCGCAACCGCAGCAGAACTGGTAGAAGATGCAAATCTACTGTATTTCTGTGAAATGGGGAATTGATGTCGAAGTTGAAGAAGACGGCTGGTAGAAGAGAAGCGGACAATGGTGTTGCTTGAACCTTTGGAGGACAAGCGTCGAAGAGGGGTCATGGAAGCAACTCAGCCGCCGAGGGGGATTTGGTGCCGGAGGGAGGGAGGGGTATGGTATTTAACTAACTTCACGGTAAGAATTCAAAGGCAAAAATTCAATTGTAAACCCAAGGATTAACTAGCAGCAGCGAGTTGACATGGCAATAATGTGGCTGACAGCCCGGAGTATAATAAGTTAACTAGTGGTATGGTATTTAACAAGCAGCACCGGATGCGGGAGCAATAACTACTACTAGTTATAAGTTAAATATATAGTTATAGTTAGTTACTACTCAACTAGCGGCTCCAACCAAGAACTTCTTCTTTCTGCTTCATCCACATCTGCCCCAATTGTATATCTCTTTTTTTGCCAGAAGTTTATATGGACAATGGATGATTGCACATTGTCCGCCCTCTTGTATCCACATGCATGGCTTATCCCCATCCCTTCTTTTTTCGAAGAAGCAAACCTAGAAATGCTGATTTGCAATGAGTTGATCATTAACTACCTCTCCTGCAGCTAGCAGACGACATCACGGCCAGCCATAATCAAAAAGCTTTGCTCTGGGACATGAATAGTAACGTTCAAAGATATGATGCGCACGACGAAGCTTTGTCCCTTAAAAAGAACAGAGCAACTATGCGCGCCGCAAACTACGAAGCTCGATGGCAATATACGGGAAGCAAAAGGCTTTTTTTAGAGGCCTATTGCCCTTGTCCTCTTGCCCGTCTCACGTCTCATAAATAAAAGGAGAATGCGACTATTTATTGCCTCACTGGAAGCTATGGGGGATGAACCTATTCTATACAATGTAGCCCGGAAATACCGGACAGCTCCGCCGTCATCCCTCCCAACCCCGAATATAAAATGGTTTGAGATGATCAATAGCGAGCCTATCAGGACCCTTCGAACCCATGAAAGATCACCAGCATTTAGGCTGTTTAACGAGCGCCGTTTGGTCCTCAACTACCAATGATTAAGCGATGGCATACCAAGTTGCTCGTCTGGTGCCGCAGAAGAAGCTATGATTTGTTTGATAACCCAAATAGCCTCTCTAAATTGCTTTAGGATTTTCCTGCCTGGTCTGCACATTTTGCAAGGGGCAGTGTCCCCTCCCATTTACTCATTTACCCTTGACTACGCTCCTCCTCTAGCGGTCTTTCTCTTGGAGTGAGATATTGTGATCGTGAACGATATCGAGGGTGTTTCATTTCTTGCGGAATCTCCACGAAATATCGAGGCGACGAAAATTCAGGATAATGGTATGCGCTTCCAGTGAGACGACCGGGAGTTTCATCAGAACAAACATTTCACATACTTAAAAAAGTCTAGGAAATCCTATTTCTTGTCTCCCATTTCCTAGGGAAGCGTGCCGTATACCATCTGACCCAAGAAGGAAGCCCCGTCACTTGAAGCCTATCAATGGGCTGCAGTTACCAGAAATAGGGGATGGTGAATTCTGCGAGAATTTCTGTGTAAAGATCTCTTCCCTGAAGGGTTACTTTCTCTCGCATTCAATAAGGTGCAGTCATTTGAAGTCGTATGCTAATGAGAGTTTACCTTCAATTCTCAGCTCCATGGATATTCCAGAGCGCTCATTTTGGTCTGTCTATCGAGATAATAATCAGGGTTCAGACTTCTTATGAATAGTATATGACACCAAGCGAGCGACAAGACTGTTGAAAAGCAATTCCAAAACCGACCTAGAAAATCCCAGGGTGTCTATCGGGGCCTATGGAAGTAAGTATCCAGTTCTGGATTTCAACCCTTTAGGTACTATGCCCGCAACATCCACTGTTTCAATCTCGTACAAAATAGCGCTTTAACAATGTAATGGCTATTCAGGTTAAGTAGAATGAGTACGGATTGTGCCCCATATCGGACGGAGTTAAATCTTGTAGAGAAAATAAGGGATTACAATAAGAACATTTCTGATTCAGAAAAGTGGAAGATCTAGACCTAACCTCGACTGCCACAAAATTTGAATGCCACAAAATTTGAATGGATATATAACACCATGAAACACATATTCCGGCAATAGTTTTGCCTCATATCTTCCGTATAGTAATTACGCCTAACCCTCTTAGGGACACGATTGAAAGGCACCTCGCCGAGGGGTCGTAGGGAAGATTCACTTAGTTCGGTAATTGGCACCTGTGGGCAAACTGCAAAATTTATTCTCAAATGAGGCTCTCATATTTATCAAGGCCCTGCTTCTGCTGGTTAACTGGCGGTCGTAGAACTGGGGGTATCTGAGTCGAATTCGAATGCCACTGCTGGGTTGGGTTCGCTTTTGGCTGACCAAAAGCGGCGGAAAGGGGATCGGTTGATGGCTTTTGCTGTTGCTGGAAATTTGATGGCGGTGGAGGAGGGATCGAAAATGGGGAGAGTGGCATTGTTGGCTGTGTATTCAGACCAAAGGATGAAGTTGATGGTAATGTTGTGGAGGTTGTGGAGGTTGGCGGATAGGTCGGGTTTGCGGAATACTGATTCATCATCGAAGTGGGTCGTTGGATAGTATTGGTGTTTGTAATCGGGGTCATTGTCGACCAAGTGGAAGATAATGAAGGCTGGGACGGTTGTGAGGGGCGCGCAGGTTGCAACGCTGGGAATGATGAACCCATGGATGATTGCTGTTGGGTAGTTGAAGGGGCAAGAGCAGGGAAGGAGGCCATGCTCATATCTGGAGTAATCGATCGTTGAGAAGGCCCTGACACGTTTGCAAGTGAATTACGACCTCCAGTATTGTTGGCGCTGACGGAATTCACAGTCGACCATGCAAACCTGGGCGGATTTGCAGTGTCCCAGGAATTCCAGGAGGCATCATTAGAACTAGATGTCGTTGCTTTACCAAGGACTAAGCGTTCGAAATCCGATCGTGTGTTTTCAACATCAGTTCCGCCATTTGCAGTTTCCATCGTTCCGAATAAATTAGAATCACTCTTTCTAGGGTTTCCGGAATCATTTGACGAGGAAAGCGATTGTAGCTTTTTCGTTTGTTGTTGCTCGACCCTTGAAGAGAGGGATTTTATCAGGTCCATGAAGCGGCCAAATTGCTGGACGTTGAGAAGCGGGCCCAGACTGAAATTCCACAACGTTGGAATGATCTCTAGAGCGATGAATTCAGTTTCGGCAATTTGGCCGACCTGTCGAAACACATTTAGAGCTGCCATCATAACTGCAGGCTCTTTTGTTTTAATAGCTTTCAGCAAGGGAACTATTTTTTCTTGGACAGTATACTTGTCAAGAATCGAAGTTGAGCCGGACTTGGGTTGCTCGGACTTGCTTGAGGTGCCAACGAAATCACCGTTCGGAGTCAAAGATGCTTCCTTTACGGAACCGCCGCATAAAATAGCAAACGACTCCAAACCTCGAACTTTGATGGCAAGGCTGCTGGTTCTGGTGAAAACGGAGGCAATAGGAGGGAAAACGTCATCCTTCACAGTCGAGAAATCAAGAATTGGCAGCATCACGGGGAGGCAGCGCATTGAAGCGTCGACTAGCGAGTGGGCGTTGGACTCTAATCCTAGACGGATTAGAGGTAGTACGTCTGGCAGATAGCCGTTAGTAAACAGGGCTAAATATAAATCAAAAGGAATCAATATACAAACCATTTTTAAAATCCCGTCCCGAACAGGTTTTCGCTATAATATCCATATTTTCGAGAACAACCATGAGACTAGCATCTTTGCAATGATCACGCTCCTGCGAAGAGCCTTTTGCTCCAGCTGGCAGAAAAATTGATTTGATGTGGGGAAGGACTTTCTCAGGAACGACCCGCGGACCGGATGGAATAATTTTGATAATTTTAAACACATTCGACAGGATAAGTGGAAGCAATTCTTTGTCTTTGCTTTCATCCAGGAGGGCACCAAGAACCTTCCTTTCGAGGACAGAAGACGGGAACTCGGGCAAGATGCGACCCAATCCTTTCATGAATTGAGACTTCTCATTAACTGTTTTCGCAGGCAAAGTCTCTAGAAAGCGTATAGTTGACACTAGTACATTATCGAAGTATTGGGATTGTTGGAACTCCTTTGCATCCATGCGCTGAGCCGGTCTTCTAGCAATGAGCCTAGGTAGAACGTGAGACGCTAGATCCTTTGGTATTGGGCCTGAGGCAAGAAATCCATTACTCTGTGACGGTATTGTCGACGGTGAGCTTAATAATTTTTTGTATGTAGAAGGATTGCCGTGTGTTTTAAGAGGAGACGTGTGAGGAGAATTATAAAGAGTAACAATGATAAGGCCGAGGGAGAAGAGGTCTGCAGACGTGCAGATATTCGAGTCAATTACGAAGTCAGGAGAGGTATAGTCCAGGTCAAGTTGAACGGAAGCTGGTAGTCTGGGATCTTGATATAGAACCTCTGAAAGTGCAATTGGAGGCAAAGATGACTGTGAGCCTGCGTCAGCTGGACCAGCAAAGGCAAGGCCAGATATTTTCCAGTCGGATTTCGTGTTGATGTAGATGGCTTCAGGGGTCAAGTTGCCGTGGACAAGACCGGCAGATTCATGCAAAAATTCTAGGCCTTTGGCAATTTGCAGTAAACCTTTCTGGATTTCGATTTCATCCAATTCGATACTATTCCCAGTTCGATTTACATCGGACTCCCCGCCGATAGATCGGCCGGCCCGCCCACCACCGGAAAATTTCTCTTGCTCATCTTTCTCCCGCAACAGCCCAGTTAAAGATGTGGTGACTGGCTCCGTTGCAAACATCAAACCGCCATTTCGGGTGTCTTCCACTGGCTCCAGGACCTGTAGAATGGAAGGATGCCTTAGCCGGGTGAGGCTACTTGCTTCCCGTCTAAGCCTTTCGACAACTTCATCATGTAACTTTTTCAGAGACGAGGTGTTAGATCGGGAGCCAAGGCCACCAGGCCGCGCATCAAGCGATTTCCGATCAAAAACGAAAACCGATGCTGCAACTCCGGTACTCTTTTTCTTGCCTTCATAAACTTTCCACGGGCCAGAAGTAAACGAGGGGTGCGGGGATAGCTGGTAATTGGCAGCTATGTTTGAGCTAAAAGACTTCAAAGCAGAAGAAAACATGGCGACCTTGGGGGAAATATGAATATAAAATTGCCAAGAAAACCAAGACAAGGAGACGGCTGTATCTGTATGTGGTCAGACTGAAGCATTAAGACCAGGGAGTATCAGCTCAGGGAGTCGTGTCCCTTTTGGAGTGATTAATCCATGAGCCAACATCAAGATTACATCCCAACACAGGCAGTCCACTCTCTTTCTTTCCCTTACTCTCCTCCAGTGATATATGGAATAACAGCGCAATATTCACACCGGCCCCTATACGCGAACCGGTATCTGTGACATCCTGTCGGTATCTGTGGAGTCCATGCGGTCAAGATAAAGATCTGTGAGGTTCGGATGCGGCTCCACACAACTTCCAGTGGACGGCTAGCCACGGTCACATGAGCTCACGTGAATTAGCCGCGGTGCTTGATGACTCAATTATTACGTTATTTCGTACTGTCCGAGCTCGCATCAGTGCGCGAGCAGGCGCCGCTGATTGGCCGCCCGCCTCTGCCGGTCGGTGCTGGGGATGATGGCGCGGGAAAGGCCAGATACGGAGTACGGAGAACGGCAAGACAATTTTTCTGCATCCAACCGGCAAAGCGTCACGCCCTTCAACAAGAAGACCCAGCCACTGACTCACCCCGTTATATACCTTTCCCGCCCCTCCAATTTCTCGTATTCTCCCGTTCAAACGCCACTTGACTCCTGCGAAGAATCATGAAGTCCGCTCTATACTCAACAACACGAAGGGGAATTCCCGCGCTCAGCGGCAGCAGTTCCGCATGGAGATATTCCATTCCTTGCCAAAGGAAGTTCAGCACGGATTTCGCAAGCCGGAGCGATGGATTACCAGGAATTGATGTCTCCAAATTATCTATTACGAAAACTACCTCGCCGAAACAACCTATTCAGCCCGAGAAGCTCGTTTTTGGAAATACCTTCACTGGCAAGTGTTCTACCATTGGAAAAAGTCCTGTTATATATATATGGTAGAACTAATGGGTTGTTAAATACGTTCATAGACCACATGCTTACGATAAATTGGAATACTAAAGATGGCTGGCTTGCTCCAAAAATCATCCCTTTCCAAAACCTCAGTCTCAATCCGGCCACCTGCGTTTTCCATTATGCGTTTGAGTGTTTTGAGGGAATGAAGGCATACAAGGACAAGAACGGTGGCATCCGGTTATTCAGACCAGATAAGAACATGTCACGGTTAAATAAGTCATCAAAACGTATTGCGCTTCCAACACTCGACGCGGACGCCGCGATAAAGCTCATTGGCGAACTTGTTAAACTAGATAGTAGATTTATTCCTGAGTAAGCTTTGATGATTGAACTTGCTATGCGAATAGGTACTGGGTTTGTTATATTTGTTCTTGTTACTGATTAGTTATCTTTCTTCTCAGCGCACGCGGCTATTCATTATATCTAAGACCCACCATGATTGGTACGCAGGAGACATTGGGCGTTAGCGCTCCAAGCTCCGCCATGCTCTTTGTCATTGCTAGCCCCGTTGGCCCCTATTACCCAACCGGATTCAAAGCTGTTTCTCTAGAAGCAACAGATTATGCGGTTCGTGCATGGCCTGGCGGAGTTGGGGATAAGAAGCTGGGTGCAAACTACGCCCCATGCATTGTCCCACAAATTGAGGCTGCAAAGAAAGGCCATCAACAGAATCTGTGGCTGTTTGGAGACGAAGAATACGTCACAGAGGTTGGGACCATGAACCTATTTGTTGCGTTAAAGAACAAAGGAACTGGGCAAAATGAACTCATCACTGCTCCGCTGGATGGTACGATCTTGGAGGGAGTCACACGAGATTCAGTCCTCGCTCTTGCCCGAGAAAGGCTGGGCCCTAAAGGTTGGGCGATATCAGAGCGCAAGTTGACAATGTCGGAAATTGCCCAAGCTGCTGATGAGGGAAGGATGATCGAGGTATTCGGAGCGGGAACTGCGGCTATTGTTAGTCCCGTTCGCACTATTAGCTGGAAAGGACGGACGGTGGACTGTGGTTTGAAAGAAAATGAAGAGGCTGGGAAAGTGGCTCTCGAGATGAAGAACTGGATTGAAGGGATTCAGTATGGAGATGAAGAACATAGTTGGAGGTAAGTCCTACCCAACAAAGCCCCCTCTTCTTAAGTATATAGCCCTAACCCACCCCCTCTTCTAGTGTCAAACTTTAGTTCTACTCCTTTGGGTATTTACCAGGGTATTATACAGTTTTCGCTTGATTTACATGTACCACAGCCTAGACAGCCTTTCTCCTGCAATCTGTTACCAATTACGTTACCTGTTTCAATTTCTTTTTACTCTTGTATTCGGAGAACAACTTGTTTTAGACCTAGAAAGAAACCCTCCGCCGCCTATGGATTTGGCCACCATTTAATCAAACTCATTGGTTGTGCGTCCACATCCTGTCCATCCGGTTGATATGTGAGAGGTTCCACCTGGGATCAACGAGAAAGAGGATAAATTTTTATACAGCTCATAAGTTACCATCATACGCTTCCTGGCCTAGTCCGGTGTTATCCCGGATGGCACACAACAAACAAGGGTTCAATTTTAATTACCTTGCTTACGCCGCTAGGAAAGTCCCCAAACGAATATTCCATCAAGTCTGCAGAAATCGCGCGCATAGACCTGTGGAGTCCATCCGATTAGCCTCACCCCCAACCACCCAAGACCTTCAGTCTCCTAAGTGGTGGGGTGAGCAGGCAACAAACTGCTAGCGAGAGGCGATCTACTTGCTTCCCATCAAAAGCATGGAGTATGGAGGAATGCTCAAGAGGTATCCATCTCTATCCACTGTGACTTGAGAGAGTGTCATTTACTCCCCGCCCCTTACGCCGTACTACAGTGAATTTTTATTACATGAGTTTTGCTAAGATATATAGTTAATTATCTACGTAGTAAATATATTGACGAAGGCCGGGGCCAAGAGAAGGGTGCGTACCTACGGCAACATTCTCCACGCAAGGTAGCTGCCGCAGCTGGTTGGGTAGCTTGCCCCTTTCTCCCAATCTCCCCTTGTCCCCATCCTGCATCCTCCCTTTGCCGCCAAAGTCCAGTAGGATTTTCAGCCCATTCGGTAACAAAATGGTAACGAATTGACGATCAAAATACCGGATTAACACCAAACTCAGCCCCAGGAAGACAATGGAAAGGGCATACTGCTGGGATCTCTTTTATGCCATGCCCTGAATCTTCCTCCTGCTTGCAGCCTGCATGGAATAGCAGTCCACAGCACAGAGGGTCGTGCCGGAGTGTGGGATTGTTTCTTTGAGAGGTTCTCTGCACCCAGTCTAGCATCTAATCCCAGGGACCCCATTCCCAATCCGCCTCGCTTGTGTGTATATATGTGTGGGATGTTTAATTCGTTGGGAACCCAGAAGGCCGCACTGAGTGGCCTACAGATGTCCTACTAGCGCAACAACCCTTCAGGTATGACACGACAATACGGAGTAGTGACAATGAAAAGAACCCTGATAGCTAAGAAAAGAAGCGAGGGGAGTACCAGCACATCTTGAAACATGAGACGATATTTTTAACCCATCCATTAAGTTGGGAATGATTGGAGCTATGTTTCCGCTCCGCGAACAAAGGTAAAGTAGAAATGTTTCCTTTCCACATCAACAGTCTCACATTTCCTGTATAAAATAGAAATGGTGGAATGAGCTGGCCACATGGCGGCTGGACATACGCAGTAGGAATCCGACGCTCTTTTCGCGGTTAACGGCCGCGCGTCTTATCATATAGAAGGACTGGACTAATAATATGCCCTTCACATTATTTTTCCCGGACTATTGGAGGAGGAATAACGAGGGAGAGAACGAGAGAGCGTGTCGATCTCTCGTGATTGATGACACCGTTCAAAGTCCTCAGACGACTCAGCCTACATCCATAGTACAGTGCCGTGCCTGCGAGGATCAGGGAGCAACAGACAAGAGTGTTGAACAATGAATCTAACCATTCTAGGGTTGTGTCCGAAGGGTTAGGTCCAACATGAATCCTGAGACGGAGGCCGGATGTGTGTGTTTGTGTGTGTTTTTGTGTGTGTATCTACGCGTTAATTTCCGAGAGCCCTTAGAACGTGTTCAGTTTTCAGGGCCTCCGCTGCTGCATGGGAGCCTTGCAAGGGGTATATAAGTTAGTTATTATTATTGAGGTATAAAAATAGGATATGGCATACCATGCCCATACAACTAGTAATATAGATAGAGCCTCCGCCGTGACATCAGTCAGTCTGATTCAGCAACCGCCGCGTCTCCGTCAACTCTGCATCCTTCACACACTCCGCAGCCCGCGTTGCCTTCTAATTCTCATATAGGCTACTTTCTAAACAACAAAGTTTCGTGTCGTCATCAACCATCGCTCCTCAGTAAGCGTTCATCATGGGCTAGTTGGTATATAAGGCTGAGCAGCTTACATTCGACGGCATATAACTATAGTACAACAGTACTGGATATATGTACTGTACATACGCATGTACAGCGCTTCGCCAAAACTCCCCCATACATATCCCTGTCGATTCCATGAAGCCAATAACCTTTTGTGCGTGGCAATGGCTAAATACGTCGTCGCCGTTGCTGTTATTTCTTTGTTAACTTTGCATGCAGACGAAACGGGAGGACAGCCGAGCCAAGGTTGCCATCGGGGCAGTGTGGCTTGCCGCCTCAATTTTAGCTTTTGGGCGCATCGTCCCATCACCGTCCCATCCCAGCAGTGAACAGTTAGGACATGGAACCGGAGGTAACTGCTACTAACCACCAGCAGGATTTCGGGCCTGGTGGGCCACTGGGCCAGCCGTGACCTCGTTCCCTCGCAAAGAAAAGCATCCGAGCTCTAGGAAGGTTCCATCATTTTGAAATGGCCGCGGACTTAAAAAAAAAAAAAAGATTTCCCCGCCGCGGAGCAATATCGGTTGTCGTTAGCCCTCAGCCGCAGCTAATTTTTCTCGCATGAGTTCACAGACTCTTCGCAAAGCTGAGAAATTTCCATCTAGAATCAATGCAAAAAGGATTGAAGGAATTTTGTCAATCAGATCTATCCAGGTGGTTGTTGCCGCCGTCCGTCCCTGGGCAGATCCAAGTCAGCCGCTAAACCTCGTGTCGATATTTTGAGTGCTGACGGATGAGATCCTTCTTTTCTTCCATTCCCAGCCACGCAGCCGGCTGCCTGTTTACGCTACTACTTAGTCGCAGCCAGACCAGAACCTCCTTCAGCAAATTCGGATCCGGCTACGGAGTATGCAGAAATGTGCCTGCAATTGGCCACTGGGATCGCCATCCCCTCGCTCCGCCAACGCAGAGAATAGCTGCATGGTGGGGGGAGGGATCGGTAAAGAATCTTCTTTCCAGGCCAGCAAGAAACATTTCCAAGGGCTTCCAAGATGTCTTCGGCCACTAAGAGGCGTTCCATGGAACAACAAGTGTTAGGCTACGTTGATGAAATGCTACGATATCAACAGAATACACCGACTAGTTTCAAGGAGATTGGACTGTTCTTGGGGGACAGACTTGGTCGGCACCAATCGGTAACATTTGTTTAGGAGGAGACTCGCTGCAAGTTATGTTCTTGCGCGGTGATGGTTGGTCCTTCGGGCACTTTTGTGATTCTAGCAAGCGGTCTGCGACATCCGTCTACCAGCGTAGCTTTTCTATTTGGAACACACCCAGAACTTCAAAACTAATAATATAGCAGGGCGTTTTTTTCTCTTCTCTTTTTTCGCCCCCGCAAAATAACAAACAAGTGCTTCAGGATACAGTATTTTTTCTATTTTCGTTCCATGCCTCGCGTAGGCATGGACGGCGATCGTTATTCCTTCCACTAATGATATGATGATGATGAATCAAATCATAACCGCGCGAAAGGTGTTTCGAAAGATTTCGCTCTTATTCAAAAACACGGCTTAACCGCATACGACGGTCCGACCAGAGGTTGCAGGAGGGGGAGGAGCCGTAGCTTACAAATCATCTACGGGCCGGTTAGTTTTTTCCGAAGAGGATTTGACTCTCATCACATCCCTGAACTGCATCCCCTTCTCTGCTTGGGTCCGCAAAAAAAGAAAAGAAACATTGACACAACATATCCCCACGGGTTTCAACCAAGACAGGCTTCGCTTTCTGGCACGAAGCGCAACACTAGGCTACATTTGGGGTCTTGGACAAGGACCTAGTGGAATTGAGGTTTGACGATACGACACGTTGATATCTCCGAGCGTCGTTTGGGAGAAGGCCCATGGGGGAAAAGGGAAAAAAAATAACCGAAAGAATGAATATAAATAAACTTCTCGCTAACGGATTCGTTCCACTCGGAGTTAAGAAGGCTAGTTTCCATGACTGGATCGAGCATTCGATGATTGTTCCTTTTTCTTTTTTCTTTTTCTTTTTCCTTTTCTTTTCTTTTATTTTGGTGGCGGGACGAGCTCCGCGCAGGGCATGCGGGGAGAGAGAAGTGGTACGAAGTTTGGAACGGGCTAACAACTAGCTAAGATTCAAAAGCATATAAGTAAACTATTCAGCAACGGACTCTGGGACAGGAAGATCTGATGATAATCAATCATTTTTGTGTAGCAAATCATCTGACCCGAACTGGAACTCGGATGAAGGAGAGTATATATACTCCGTATATATAGTATATATATATATGTTTCTGCACTTTACGCATTTTGGGACCGCGGATTTGAATTCTGATTGGTTTGATATCCGGTAAAATACGGAAGGAACTTGAAAGGGGGAAATATCTGTCAAACCTCTCCTCTCAACGGACATGAATGACGCGATACCAAGCCAAAAAACTAACTATGACAAAAACCACAAGGTGTTCCGATAATTGATACGCTGCAACCCACCCCCCTTCCCGCGTATTGCTAGCTACTCGCGCCTCCAGCCAAGACCGCGCTGCGGCCCCCGTTTCGCCTATTTCTTGGCGAGCGGACTCGAAGTCCGTTCCGAAGGGGCAAGCAAAGCCAAAAAACATAAATAAAGGTAAACCTGATGATTTCGCTAGTTAAAAAAGAATAATAAAAAAATACTGCTCGTTACAGGAAGTCTATTATTATTATATGTTATGTGCTCCGTACACGTATAGAATCGGTATCCAACAAGTATTTACGCTGTAATGTCTTGTTTGTTGGGTTGATCGTATGGTTGATAAGCCAGAAGAGAAATGAACGCCAGGAGTTGGTCTCCATTTCCAACCTCCTCCTCATAGAAACTTGCACGCAATCGCCCCTTATTTTGCCACCAATCCGTTTCATATGCTTTGAAAAAAAGGAAGTAGAAAAAGAAAAGCCGTGACCAATATTAAAAACAAAACAAAAAGAGACTCTTGCAATTCGTCAAGAGGGGTTCCATATACGCTCATGTAACACCGTAAACAAAGTCAAAGAAGGAATCCACCGCTATATACAGTTACAGAAGTGTAAATTCAAAATAAAATAAAATTCGAAAAATAAAATAAAAAATCGGGATAGAAAATCACCTAGCGCGTTCATCCTGCCGGGCCCCTATATCGTATACTCTTTTCTCCCTAATTTTGTCGCCTAGATAAAGGACAACAGCGGTGAAGCCATCAAGTGCTGAGGAGTCCTTGGATGCCTATGCACTGGGTTGCTTGGAGAAGCAGTGTTCGATCGACTATACGGGCCTGATTGTAAAGGGGGAGGCGTCTTGAATCCGAAAACCGTGAGCTTCTTATGTTTCTTTTCTTTCTCTTTGTTCTCGTGTGGGTGGGAAGAAGTCCAACCCTTGGGCACTAGTTCCGACTTACAAGGGAGTTTGGATCTTGGTACGGAGCAGAGGTGGCAGGGATGTCGAACCCAGCCATCGAAGCATAATTCATACCAAATGGCGTGAGCAGATCATCTTCTGGGTAAACCAGTTCCTGAGCAGGGGGCGGGTGCGAAGATAGTGGCTGGATATAGTAACCTGAGGGTGGAAGTTCGGAGGTTGGGATCGGAGCAGGGTGGTATGTCGATTCTTGGGGATATTGTGGGTAGCTGTAGTTTGGAGAGCACGCTTGGTAGTGGGTGGCGAAAGCAAGTGGAGGAGAGGCAGACAACTGCCTCGTTGATGGATCGGAGAACATGCTGGCTCGCTGCTCGCCTTGATAAGAAGAGAGTGGCTGAGTCAGAACCATCTTCGTTGGCGCCTTCTGGTCATCTTTGGCTTTAGCTTTTTCTATGGTGGCAGCCCGCCGTGAAGGGGACTTGGACTTCTTCGATTTTGATGTAGCTGGGAGACTGAGCTCCTTGTGTGATTGCTCTGGAGATGCAGACGAAGAAGTGGCTCTTCTTTCCAAATCCTCAAGGCGTCGCTTTAGCTTCTTGCCTGTTTTTGGTCAGTAAGCTAAGACGAACAAATATTTGTGGTTAATAATCTGTGGCTTACGGTAGTTTCGTTGAGCAATTCGATTTTGAATACGCCGTCGCTCAGCGAGATCGGATATCTTTGTCCAATCCTCGTTGGGATGTGCGCTGGCACTGAAAGCACTGCTAGTTCCATGACTAGAATTAAACCTCGACTGCGGCGCAGGTTGGGAAGGAGTATAGGGATAGGCCGCACTCCGATTCATGACGGCTGAGAGTGTCGACATTAAATTTGAGGGGTAGGATATCGCTCAGGATCAAATGTGGAATAGATATACAGCAAAATAAAAAATAGGAGAACGAACAGGCAGAAGAGGTGGATGTGTACAATTTATGATCGGATACTGGCCAATTTGAAGGAGAGGACTGCTGCCGGTGCATGGGGTATTTATCAATTTCTTGACCTCCAGGAGAGGCCAGTCCCAACTTTAAACGATCCTCCGCAGGACCACAGCTTGACTACCCCCCCGGAGGCCGGCCAACCGTTGCAAACGCAGGGGTCCCGCGTGCCCACGCTACGGACGTAGTGGATATTAGATCAGTTGTTTCTAGTGCAGCCTTGCGTGCACATAGGTAATTTTGTGGCTTGCAAGACCTGAGTTTCGAGAGTAGGGCCAGGGCTCGGACTAGCGTCGTAATGTGACAATACCGCCTTGGAACTTGAACTGAGTCAATATTACTTAGCCAAAAATGGCATAGTAGAAGTTAGAATTCTATTTGTAGGACATCTCGCTGGCAAGGCAATGCCCGGGATCCAACACTAGGAGTAGCCCTGTCTATTGATTTAGAGCCAGTGAGCTTCAAAGGTGATCTTTAAAATCCGGCTCATTCTGGCTCCCTGCTAATGCGGGAAGAGGTTAGCTTCTTGAACATGAAGAATATCCCAACGTTGCGAGCGAGGGGCACGTAAGTTGAGACACTCCCAACAGGCATAGCTACATTAGAAACGGTAGTTGACTGACCTGAATGACTTTGCTTCTTAACTCGGTTACTCAAGGGTGAGTAAATTGGGCATCAGCTCGTAAAGCTGTTTTTAGCAAAGATAATTACTCTTGTATCTAGTACTTTTCAGAGCACATTGAGATCGATACCCCGTGCCCCTCATTGATTATCCCGTCCACAAGGGATTCGCTAGTTGGAATAAGGAACTTGGCATGGGGTTCATTAACAAGTTACCCAACCCACATAGCCACCAATTTCACAGAGCACGAATCCCTGCCGTGACCGAGGCCTGTCTGCCGCCAATGGGAACAGGTCAAAGAAGGCCAATATATCGCTAGGTTGTTTCTGGAGTGTTTCCTATTGGATATTGGCAACATTCCTTCACTCAGCTGGGAGGTGAGAAGGCCAATAACCACGGACTTCCTCTCCCGCTCTCACACCCCGAAAAAAAGAAAGACCAAAAAAGGAACAACAAATAAATAAAATAAAAAAGATTGCTAAAGGATAGCAAGAAAGCTTCTAGAAACGTATCTTAGGCCTATATCCATTTTAAAGGCCGATGGGTGGTAGAATTGCAGGCTGGCCGTTTACGCCGTAGAGAGGAATGGGTTTGGTTTGAGCGCGCTAAGCGAGATGCCTATCCAACGCGGCTATTAATTCCATACAGCCATAGCCACTGCCGCGTTTCTTCCTTTTTCGGTTGTCGCGGCGTTTAAACTACCATCAATAATATTCTCGAGCTTCCTACCTGGGTTTAGCGTGGTCCCAGCCCTCGGCACTGAGATTAGCCCAGTATTAGCTTTACCATCTTGTAGGCGGTTGCATATATCAATCTGGATTGCACTGTATTGTCTTACACTTGATATAGGGGAATGGCTGAGAACAAGTCTACCATGTCTGGCGCTTGTTTAGAACTTTAAATTCAGTTCCTTGCTCGAAGGGTTCCTGACGAGGTCAGGGCCATGTCCAAATTTTAACTGACACTTTGACCATGAATTGTTTTGCCTGACTTTGTTGATCCCCCCAGATGCTCTAAAAATATTGGGGCTGGATAGAAATAACGGATAGCGGTTACTATCTTATGAGTGCTAGTGTCGGACGTTGGTTGAATCCGGGATACCGACGCACAGTACCATGCAGACAACTATGCCTGGGACCATAAGCAATTCCTTAATTGATTTCGATTAACATCGTAAAGATTAGAGCATACACTACACTACTATTAAACACATAATACTAAATTAAAATAGAAAGCAGAACTTTTGCCTCCCACCTACGTGGGTACTCGATTTTGGAGCTGACCTACCCGGGTTTTATGTGCTGCATGTAGTGAGTGAAAGGATTTGGCATTTTTGGTTCTATTTTGCTGCGAGTAGACAAGGAATTACTTGACTCCCCCTTTTTCCCCTGGAGATCTCAGCGAGAGCTTCTATTGAAGTGTAGTGTGCCTGTGCTCATCATTGTGGGTTCAGTCCCCTGCCCCACCTTGCTACAGCACAACTAAGGAAAGGCAATAAGAGCCCTTCCTATCAAATCAGTATCTTCTTTACTTCCAAATTCTGTTGGAAGGCTGCTAGAACCCCAATGCTGGCCTTGTTAGGTGTCATAGTTAAATCCCCTAACAATAAATATATTTTAGAGTTATGATTGATGTTTACTTAGAATCTTTAAATGATACTTCTCCACAAATAGTAACGGAGATAAGCAATCATGGTAAAACTAATTGGCTCTTTTTCCCTTTTTATCTTAGAGAACGAGAAGGGACTCTGTTTTTGTGACAAAATGCAAAGGTGTTGCATTACCTCTTCTTCCAGCCCTAGGCCCCATGATGATCAGTTGAGAGGTGTAAGAGAATAGAATGAAATCGAATGGAAGGCCGAACATGGTTCATAGAGGCATCATACCACAAGAAGAAGAGGAACAAGAAGTTAACACCCACCACACTTCAAATTCATCCTCTGGCAATGATCCTGCACTGTCCGGATCCGGTTGGTATTGTTTTATTCAATCCAAGTAGCCGGTAATAGTGGCTGGTACGACATCCTTTAGATACCCCCACATGAGTCTAGTCGTTTTCATCCAGAAACCATTTACATTTTCATCCCTTTTTCAGTCCTCGTCGAATATCAAAATAGGGATGACGTTGGCGTATCGTTGAACGCATTGCGCCATTCGATGACGAAGAGAGACAGAGCGAGAGAGCTAATCCCTCCCCTTATTGTCCTTGTTGCCGCACACCTGCGCCAGGCTGGTCGATATCTATGATTTCAAATCGTTACAGATGGTATGTGAAGTACGGTATCGACTGCGAAGATAGCTGGCGGCAGATCCTGTCACTTTCTAGGGTTACGCGCGTAGGGCTGAGATGTGGCGGCATCGTGGTCACCCCAAGAAATTAGCTGCGTCCGTACTAGGAATATTGGAAAAGCGTCATGATGTAATCAAAAACGAAAACCTTCCTGCCCTGCCATGTCAAAGCGCGGAAATTCATTGTCCAAACGTGGAAGAAAGTTGACGAGAGCAGTAGATACTCAGGCTTCTGGTATGGGCCGTTGGGCTACGGGGTTCGGTGCCGCCTTCTAGGGCTGATAGTTTTGTGGAGCCGCCGGCAATGCAAGGGCCGAATGCCGAAGATGTAGCAGGGTTCGGCTGTGCTGTGTCACTTCAAAAAAAAAAAAAAACCTGATAGAATGTGAGGGCTGTGCGAATATTAATCCCCCACGCCTTGTGACACCTTGCTAGCCAATTGACACGCACCTCGGGCGTCAGTACATTGCGAAATTGTCAGCTTCGGCCGATTTCACCCCGAATTTCTCAAGCTGCGTCGCATCGGTCGTCCATGCTTCTGGTTGACAGCCTCCCCGGAACTTGTATCTGCTGAGCAAGGGCGACACAGAGAGAATGTTGAAATTGGAAAAGATACTGAGCATTCTCCGATTCACATGTATGGATTTTCACTGAAACTCACCTTGTATAAAGAGTGCTGTTGATGGCATTACAGTGGAATCTCCATATAAATACCCAGAGGGCAGCCTCTGTCACTATGGCATTTCGAAATCGCCTCTAAGTATATCGCCACGACGTTGGGACGCAATTCACAAATAACAGTTCTGAGCCGAGGATTTCCTTTTACTATCATAAACTTTCATGAAGGAGAAAGTTACATTAGGAGAGATGAAATGCT